CTGCCAAGTCTCTTATCATCGTTTTTTTTGTTTTATTGTTATTGCGGTGCGTGTGTGTGTGTGCGCGTGTGTGTGTGGGGGGGGGTGTTTGCTTGTGGTCTGGGGAGGGTCTGTGGTGCGGTCGGAGGGAGGGCATGACCAGGATTGTTTTTTAGCCAAACTGTAAAGCACTTTGTGTTGCATCTGTTGTATGAAAAGCGCTTTATAAATAAACTTTGATTGATTGATTGATAGGTAAGTGCAATAAATCCATACGTCTGTATTTGATTGAGAATGCCACGGGCTTGAGGGTTGCCTTTTGCAGCCTCTTCGTGTAGCTCCATCACGAGCGCTGGCCAGTTGTGTCTGATGGCCTCAACCGCTTTCCCCAGTGACAGCCATCTCACTGCGCACTGCTGTTTCAGGCTGGTCATATCTCCTTCATCGAGAGTGGCAGAGAGTTGTCGCAAACGATTTGTTCTGGTTGCAGAGTGTTTATAAAAGGAATACACGCTGTTGATGGTGCGCTTATAGTCCGCAATCGTCTTCACCGCTTTGGACGCGTCGGTGGCAGCCAGTGCCACTCGGTGTGCAATGCAGTGGACTTGGAGACTGTACGGGCTTTCTTTTTTCAAAAGTGCCCCGACTCCAGAGTGCGTTCCCATCATTACGCTGGCTCCATCCGACCCCAGGCTTGTGACGCGGCTCATAACTATGCCTCTTTCTTTTAGTGCAGCCTTCACTTCATCAAAAATACACTGAGCTGTTCCTGAATGGATATTGTAATTCCCTAGGAAGCACGTTTCCACTTTCCCATCGTTTTCGAGTTTTATATACATTATGAGTTTTTTGACTGTGATGTTTACCGTTTCATCTATTATGAAAGTAAAGTAACTTTTCTTTATTTTTTCCTTTACTTCATTAATTATAGTTTTTTCTAAACCCTTTTCCATGTCATTTACAGACTCGTCGTGTTTGTATAAAATGTTACTTTTAAAGTTAGGAGCATCAACACTTTGCATCAATTCCAACAGTCCACAAAACTGATGACAGGGTATATCGTTTTTAGCCATGTAAAAAACAACCTTCATCTGTGAAGTCAAGGCGTTTCTGCTTGATTGGAGCGCTTTATCACAATGCTGTTTCATAGCGCTTTGTTGTTGCGATAAATGCACAGCGGACAGGTGATCTGAGCTTTGGCTGTGCTCTAACAGTGTAGAGGCTTTATAGTTAATTGATCCTTTGGTGAAACCGTTATATTTACCGGACTTCTCACAAATGATGCAAAACATTTTGTCAGTCCCATCCATTAGCTCTCGCCTTAACCATTTGAACCGATCCTGCCACTCGGGCTTGTAGCATCTTCGAGCTTTTTTTGCTCCTCCGACATCATTTTCATTTGCACCAGATGCATGGCGCTTTTCGGGAGGTCCTGATTCTTCCGTTGGTGTATAGTCACTTGTAGATTGAGTAGTAGATGTTTTCTTGAAGAAATGAGCGAGAGATGATTGCTTCGACATTGTTAGCGTAGGTTTCAAATCTCGCGCCGCGAACCAGAGGGCGTTAACGACGTCATGGGGTGCGCTAATCCTAGGCATTCACGACCACCTTTTAAACCACAAGCTTTTAAAACGACCACATTTATTGATTTGTTGTCTAATTTAAGTGATTTATTTATTGCATAGTGATAATAATGATGATTATAATTTTTATTGTAACTTAATTTTTTTTTTTTCAATCAGCCAACGTGGCCGACGGCACTTTTTTTTCTCGGCCAAAGACATATTTTACCGGCCAAAAGCCGGCTACAGCCGGCTAACGGGAACCCTGGCGTGTACGTGTATATGCCTGCCTCTGTGTTTGTACATGTGTCCGTCTGTGTGCGTGTGTCTGCCTCTGTGTGTGTACATATGCGTGTTTGTGTGCGTGTGTGTGTGCGTCTGTCTCTGAATGCGTGATGTGCATTAGTTCTGTACCTAAATATAGAAGATCTTCATATGAAATAGAATTAAAAACTTCTCATTTTAGTAAATACTGTGTTTCATTAAGTCATATCTGAGTCAGATCTTATCTGTGGTGAAATCACACACTTTGATAATGCATGTGACGTGGAACACGTCTGCTGCGTCATTGGCATATTGTCCCCTAGATCCAGGGTGTCCCAATTCTTAGGGAGAATGTTGTGAGTGCACTCCCCACTGGCAAGGCACTTTGCTGGTGAGGGTACTCACACCTAAGGGCAAGGGTGAGAATTGGGACGGGGCCAGTTTACATTGAGTTCTATGGGACATTTTTCTGGGTGAATTTACAGTGCCTTGAGAAAGTATTCCTTTCAACATTTCGCCACATTTCAGGCTTCAAACATAAAAATATAAAAATTAAATTTTTTGTCAAGAATCAACAAGTGGGACACAATCGTTAAGTGGAACGAAATTTTTTGGATAATTTAAACTTTTTTAACAAATAAAAAACTGAAAAGTGGGGCGTGCAATATTATTCGCCCCCCTTGCGCTAATACTTTGTAGCGCCACCTTTTGCTGCAATTACAGCTGCAAGTCGCTTGGGGTATGTCTCTATCAGTTTTGCACATAGAGAGACTGGAATTCTTTCCCATTCTTCCTCGCAAAACAGCTCGAGCTCAGTGAGGTTGGATGGAGAGCGTTTGTGAACAGCAGTCTTCAGCTCTTTCCACATTGGATTCAGTTCTGGACTTTGACTTGGCCATTCTAACACCTGGATACATGTATTTGTGAACCATTCCATTGCAGATTTGGCTTTATGTTTTGGATCATTGTCCTGTTGGAAGATAAATCTCCGTCCCAGTCTCAGGTCTTTTGCAGACTCCAACAGGTTTTCTTCCAGAATGGTCCTGTATTTGGCTCCATCCATCTTCCCATCAATTTTAGCCATCTTCCCTGTCCCTGCTGAAGAAAAGCAGGCCCAAGCCATGATGCAGCCACCACCATGTTTGACAGTGGGGATGGTTTTTTCAGGGTGATGAGCTGTGTTGCTTTTACGCCAAACATATTGTTTTGCATTGTGGTTGCATGTTTGGTGTGTCTCCCAGGTGGCTTGTGGCAAACTTTAAAAGAGACTTTTTATGGATATCTTTGAGAAATGGCTTTCTTCTTTTCTCTTCCATAAAGGCCAGATTTGTCCCCAAATCCCAAAGTCAGTTAGTGCAGCTTTAAGTGATCGTCCATCCTCTCTTTGATTTGATGCTCAAGACGTGGACGTATAAAATCAATTGTGACACCCCTAGTATGTAGGGCTTCACAATATATCGAAAAGATTTCCATATTGAACATATGCGTGATAAAAAAATAGACAAGAAAACAGACGGACACATCAACATTCAACAAAAACAACAAACAAACAAAAAGTATATAAATATATGCATTTGAATGTCATTAATGTTTTTATTGGTCTCTTGCATTTCAATACAGATGCAATTTTAGGTCCATCCAACCATCCATCCATTTTCTTCCCCTTAATCCATTTCTGGGTCGGCGGGGGTGGGCGGGGGAGGGGGTGGCAGTCAGAGCTGCACCCAGTACACTTAGCACCAGCCCCTCACTGATCCTCCTGCAGGTGGTGCGTCCACAGGAGCTGAGATCTTCCAGCTGAGATCTAAAATAGTCATATAATTAAACATTTATTAACCTCGCAAAAAGACCAAGGTCTGATATTTCTCTGTACAGACCTCACGCTTGTTTAATAAGCCGTTAATATTGAATGTCGCACTAATTTCCTATATTGTGCAGCCCTACTAGTATGCAATAATTCTTTGTGCAATATATTCTTTGCTTTTGCCAGGATAGAAATACTTTGGGACAGTTTTTTTTTTTTTAAATAATTATTGTCAGATTTCCAGCATTACCCCATTGATTTGTCTCACTCTTGTCTCTCTGGTCTCACTCTAGTCGGTCTCTGGTTTCTCTGTGTTATGACAATTAAATTCTTTGCTTGCAGTCACGTGACGCATACTTCCGGTTGACGAAGTGGTGGTCAGGCCAGCAAGAGTTGCTGCTGATATGTGGAGAAAATGCGACTCTTCCGAGTATTTCTTTGCTTTGTTGGATATTTCATGACACTTTGAAGCTACTGTGGTTAGGTTCTAACTCATCATTCTAACAATATGCACAAGGCAGAATTTTTCCACTACACGTTTTGGTAATATCAAGGTTGAAGCTACTGGCACATGCTAATATGCTAATAATTCTAATAAGTCTCCATTCCTCTGCTGTATGTCATTTACATTCTGTAACGTCTTTGTCTATGCTGTCTCTACCATCGACAATTAAACATGTCTTCTGTCTGAATTAAAGACACGATCCTAGACTGTCATTTTCTTCACTAAATTCTAATCCACTAGCTAGTCTTACAATCAAGCTTTTGCACTGCTAAACAAATGAAGGTTTGGAAAAACATGAATGCTGCAACTTTTCTGTCTGTCTGGGTTAAGGAATTCAGAGTTTAGGTCCTGAAGGACAACTCCTGCATCGTAAAGAGCCGTGCAAGTAACGATTGGTGAATTAACTTGTCATTCTCAACAAAACAATGCGTCTGAGTGCTGTGTTCTTTTCGTGTCAAACATTCACAGTATTTATCTAAAACGCCAACTCATACCTGACAATGAATTAAATAAAGATGGGGATGTAATAACATGTGACTGCATGGCTGGGTAAATAATCCTTCGAGGTAAAAGCGTCTGCTAGTGAAATGTTAGCGAGCCACTTTTCCTGCGTCTTTTCGTAAAGTCCTTAGTGCGAGGTTCTTTATTAATCTCTTCGCGAGGAACCCTAAAGTAAAGGTTTTGCGATTCGATTGGTAAGAAAAGTGAACAACTAGCTCGGCTGACCACCACTTTTTGATACGCATATGTAATGAGGCGGACGTGACGTCAATTGCAAGCAAGCAATTGACATGTTTCTGTCGTCCCTGTGGTGAAAAACTCAGCTTTCCCACAGTTGATCTTCAGATTTGACCTTGACGTTCATCTCTGTTCTCTTGTCCAGATGATGTGCGAGGTGATGCCCACCATCAATGAGACCGAAGGGCGCCGAGGCTCCGGGTCCCCGCTGCAGTCCGACTCTGAGGGCCACTTTGAGTCCCTGATGGTATCCATGCTGGAGGAAAGGGACCGGCTGCTGGAGACGCTCAGAGAGACGCAGGAGAACCTGGGGATGGCACAGGGAAAGCTCCACGACGTCAGCCATGAGAGAGACTCCCTCCAGAGGCAGCTCAACACGGCTCTGCCACAGGTGAGCGAGACCAGAGAGCGAGACCAGAGAGCGAGACCAGAGAGCGAGACCAGAGAGCGAGACCAGAGAGCGAGACCAGAGAGCGAGACCAGAGAGCGAGACCAGAGAGCGAGACCAGAGAGCGAGACCAGAGAGCGAGACCAGAGAGCGAGACCAGAGAGCGAGACCAGAGAGCGAGACCAGAGAGCGAGACCAGAGAGCGAGACCAGAGAGCGAGACCAGAGAGCGAGACTGTATATAGTCAATGCTCCTGCCTCTGTCTGAACCATCTGTCCATGGCTCTTTGTTATGAAACTGTCTCATGTTTCTATTGGCTCTTACCTGTAACTGCTCGGGTTTCATACAGGATGTTTAAAAAGGCTTCATTTAAAATGCCCCAATCCTCTTACTATGACTCAACCTGTTTTACAATCTGATCTTTCTCTTTCTGGTGACTCACTGGTATCTCTCTCCATGCTCTCTGGTCTCTCTAGTCTCTCTCAGCTCTCTCTCATCTCAGATGAGATTGTAATATGACGCCGACCTCCTGTCGATGCTCCGGATCATTGTAATTCATATTTATTTAGTTTTACTCAGCCTACTTTGCCTACTACTAAAGCCTTTGTAGTGTCTGTCACTGGTTTTGATTGGAATGTATGGAGTGTATGGAAGCATTATACCCTGCCGATCAAATACGCCCAATAGGAAATTGCTCATGAGCCGCGTTTCCATCGCAGGAGTTCCTGGTAAAAGGAGCGTCGTGGAACTTTTACAGGAACCTTCCTCTCCCACGGTCCTCTCGGTATCCGTGTCTCCACTGCAGAGTAGGACCACTCGCCAACGATTGGTTTCGATTGCCGCATAAGCGAAACTCATTACGCCAAACCCATTTGCTTATTTTTTTAAAGTTTTCACAGCTTGTTATGGTGTGTGTTGAATACCCAGTGCTTCAAGGTGAAGCTGATATATCTTTTAATTTCCCCGCAATGCCTCAAACCTCGTCTGAATCAATGCCGTGCTGTTGTTCCAGTGGTGTCTGCAAGGTTAATGCTGCTGGGCTAATGCTGCTGAAGGCCAGTTGTTTTGGTGCTTTCTGCTGGCGTCAGAGCCTGCGCTAGCTTTAGCCAATCAGGGGCAGGTTAACCTCAAGTCCCACCAGGGCCCAACAAAGTACCTAGAATGGAGCGAGGGACTCCGTTGGGCCTCGTAAAAGTTCTTGTAAATGGCCCTGTGGGAGAAGTTCCTGCAGTGGAGACGCGCACCGTCGGGGCTAGCCCTGAAAAACTACCCCGAAGTTCCTGCGGTGGAAACGCGGCTAATGTCAGGTTTTGCTCCATCTCGCTATGGCTCCTATTGACTAATAATTAACCATATGCCACAGGCTGCGTTTCAGCGTTCAACATGCTGCCATGTGTTGCATAATTTATTCTGACATTTAAACGCAGTCACATCCTCTGACAGATCCATCATGCTAACGAAGCACCTCTGCTAACAGTAAAACCAATATATGTAACAAAATATTTACACACATATGATGTAGTTTTTTTTTATTTCCTGTGTTTACTTCAACATTATCATATACCCGCTAGTATAACATGACAGTTACCTTTATTTAAAGTCAGAAGAATACTTTTGTGGTTTGTGCATACTGCTGTGATTAGTTCAGAGGGTCTCTCTATGATCTCTCCCCTGGTTTCTTTATCTGGTCTCTCTCTGCTCTGTCTTTGGTCTCTCTGGTCTTTGTTTCTGATCTCCCTCTGATCTCTCTCTCTGGTCTATGTCTGAAAAAGCTGATCTAAATATGTGACAGAGGCCAAAAACACAGATATATTATTTTTAGGGCTGGGATTTAAAAGTGAATTAATGGCGTATCACCTCAATGCTTAGGGCAGCTAAGCACCAAAGAGTATAGATACCCACTCCCAAGTCACACTGGTTAAAGAATGGCTCACTGATTGCACTCTACTTTAGGCCACTTAGAATAGTAGAAGATGAGGGCCTGCAATAGTAGTGAGTAATGTTTATTTATATAGCGCTTTTTTGCAGACCAGGTCACCCAAAGCGTTTTGCAATTTTCAGAGATAATTTTTCCATTCCCTCCACACTCGGTGATGACGAAAGCGAGACGCCAAACACACTGGTGCATCAAAGCCCCCAATCAACACCATCCACTCACTCATCATATTCATACCTATTGTAAATGTACATCCAGAGAAAACCTACACAGACACGGGGAGAACATGCAAACTCCACACAGAAAGGTGGAAGTGAGTCTGGGACCTTCTTGATGTGAAACACAAGCTCTAAACACTTTTTTTTTAATCAAGTCCAAGCCCTAATTATTTTGTATTTTTTTTATCATGTTTTGCAGTTTTGATGACTTTGATGCTATTCATATGAAGAAGTATATGGTTAGCTATATCATGATGTCAACTATACTATCCTCTGACTTTTATTCTGGTCTCGTTTTAGAATAAGTCTTATTGTTTGTCCCTGTGATCCATCCAAACAATGTCTTTCCATTCCCAGTTCGGCCCCAAGTTTGTTTTACCTCTGTTCTTCCTGGGGATAATGTCGAGGTGCTGCGGATAATGTGGAAGTGCTGTTGCTGCTGCTCTCTCCCTCAGGAATGCTTCGACATTCCTGGGCCCTGGCTCACGCATCCAGGCTGCTCCCAGTGCTTAAATAGCTCCTTCTCATGATTTTCTTTGATGAATAGCCGTGGACAATACAGTTGTAGCATGCCACAATCAGGAAAGCCACGGCTGCGTTAGAGGCGTCAAAGCAGTGCACTCTCTACATTTGGCTTGTTTAAGCTTTTTGCTGTGTTAGAGCTGCAGCTATCGATTATTATTCTGTCGAATACACCGATCAATTAATTGAGTATACGAGAAAAAAAAATACAATATCAAATGAAAACTATTTAATAATGACAACTATTGTATACAGTTTATTGGATTCATATTATGAAATGAAGACAAGGCAGCAGCGATTGCACCTGAACCACGGTTGATTTTCAAGTATTTCCAGATCAAACAGAATCAGATGTCTCTGAGCAGCAAATTTAAAAGGCTATCTATCAGAACAGCTGCTTGTGCTGAGAGCAGGAACTGGTCCTAAACAGGCTGTGATGGTTCACTGAAAGAAAGGGAAAAGCAGCATGAAGCAGTCTGCTCCGAAGGGCCTTGTCTATGTTCCCTGCAGCCGCTCCATGCTTCCATCCAAAACACACACATGGACCAATCACAGTGGAGATTCTCTGCGGTGCCGGCTGCGTAGTTAGAGATTTTTGAGGGAGCAGGGGTGGCTGCGCCAAGGGTCTTGCGGTGATCCTTGCGTTGGTCAAGTGACGTCACGTCACTGCCGTAAGGGCCGCGCGACTTTACACTATTCTTAAAGCTGAACCATGTAAACATGCATATATATCCTGCAGTCATATTCATGCGTTTGTTTGGTCAGCTGGTTTTCACATTTCAAACACTCTTACCGGTGGTTTTCAGGTGAAGTCAGAGTTTCTGTTTTTCCTCTGAGCTGCTGTGTCAACACGTTTACAATGTAATTTTGTTCAACCCGTTTCGTCATTGTTTTGTGTGAAGCAGGAGCGGCCTTCCCCCGTGAAGCTGCTGTTTTATCCAAACTGCTCACTTGACTTTACTCGGCTCTATTCTACTCTACTTGGCTCTATTCTACTCCACTCAAAACATTCAGCCTCAAAGGCCATTTCTCTACCAACTGAGCCACCGTCGTATCCTACTCTACTACTACTACTCGGCTCTGTTGTACTTGACTATAGTCTACTCTATTCTACTCTACACAACTCTTCAATGATTGGGAGTGTTTCCACAAACAAACACATGATTTTGACAGGTGTGTTTTTAGTGGGATTCTACATTTGTCTGCGTGATGTCACACACAGAGAGCAGATCACAGCTGCTTCTTTCGGCAGATAACAGCAGTGTTGGCTGTGGGCTACACATCAAACAATGACAGGGAACCACACGCGTTATTATAGACTGCTTTATTTCTTACATTCCACAGAAAAAAACTTGAGAAACACAAGTGCCTCTGAAACTGCCATGTGACTGAAGGACCAGATTTATGAGTTTGGAATCTGAATCATGAAACATATGATCCGGTTGAATTGAAAGTTAATGAGTAAAAAGGCAGGAATAAAATCTGTCTTAAGCACTGTTTCCACCAGCCCTGCGATACTCTGCTTTACTCTACTCTACTTGGCTGTTTTTCTATTCCATAGCCATGCGACCTTGCCACAACAAACCAGTATCTGGGGATATTCCTTGGTAACTATGACTTCCAGCAGCTCTCTGGCCAATCACTGTCCATTAGAACACTTCAGTACCAGCTCGGGTAGAACCAAGGCCAAAAGGGCCAAATGAAGAACCTGATAATTGCTTAACGGGGCCAGTGGAGATACTCCTATTCAGCAGGGCTCGACATTAACGGTTGTCCGCTGGCAGAGAGTGGTGTTTTTATATATTTTTCCTCACATTTAGTGCCACTTTATTGCCAAACTCTTGTTAACTCATTGTATTGAGAAATATTTGGGCAATTAACTTTTGACATTGGGCAGGCTGACAAAGCTTAATGTCAAGGCCTGTATTCAGGGTAGAGCAGAGCCGAGCTGAGCCAAGTAGGACTGGTGTAAACAGGGCCTTAGTAACCAGGACAGATGTTTCAGCTGCCCTCCACTACAATGTTAAACTATAGGTTGGGAAGTGCTGATGCCCAATTCATTCAATAATATCAGTTGATATTTACATTTGGTTCTGTCCAAACAAAGTAAAACTATAGGAGATTATACATAACCACTTGTATACACTTTATGATTGTAATGTTTGCTCCTGCTGTTGAGATATGTCCTCTGAAAGCCAAGGAAAGCGGGCCTCGGGCAGGGCATGGGCAGTATATGCACACCACATTCTTTAGAGTCAGTCGAGCGTTTCATTACTCACAAATGAAAGTGCTCGGGCATGTGTCTGAGGCAGATGTGGAAATGGAATATTAGTTACGCCTATAGTTTCTGTGTGTGAGGTTGAAAGCTGCGGAACCTGCAATAATACGTGTTTGACACGGTCTTAAATGTTGTGGACAAACAGACCACAACATGCGGTCTCCATCCTAATAGAACACATGTTATCTTTAGTGTAAGAAAGAGCCCTGTTATTGATTCCTTGGCCTGAGAGCTGATTGGCTGAGTGAGCAGGGTCCTCTATACGATCCTTAAGCCTAGCGTACATCGGACTGGCAACTGATTATATCCGTCGCATATGAGTTGCTGCCCCGCACACATCGACAATCTGGCGAAAACGGGCAACTCCCAGTAGCAGACCAGTCTCGGGAATAACAGCGCGTACATCGACAGCAACTGGCCTCAACTACAGTGTGTTTTCTGACATAAACTGTGGCGGGCTCGCAATACACACACGTTGTCGGAGCGGCGCATGGAGCGCGCACATCGGGTCATATCTCCGAAACTGAGGACAACTAGTTGCCGAAAAGTAGAACATCGGCAACTGACTGAAACTGGAGACCGACTGTTCATCTCCAGTTGTAAGAGCGCGCACATAGACCGATTTTGGCAACTGATCATCTCCCACCATCTCCTCTCAGTTGCCAAAAGCCGCCTTGCAACTAGTTGTCCTCAGTTTCTCTGTCGATGTGCGCTAGGCTTTAAAGATTTATTTTTAATGCCATATTAAGCTGCACATTAGACTCTATAAGTTTATCATCCATACAAAGATGACATTTTGGGGGTCTAAAAACACATAAGAGATGAGAGAGACCAGGACTGCAAATTAACTTAGTTTCTTTATACAATTATAAAGATATTGGCATTAGTTCTTTGCATGTTTAAATAGGGCAAATAAAAGACTGTTTGAGTCAATCCTGCTCCCAGTCAGAACAGCCACAGTCTGTTCCGTTCCTCACTCATTTGTTTCTGGTTCCAGGAGTTTGCAGCGCTCACAAAAGAGCTGAACATTTGTCGAGAACATCTTCTTGAGAAAGAGGAGGAGATTGCGGAGCTCAAAGCTGAACGCAACAACACACGGGTTGGTACCACAGGAAATACTGCTGCACCAGTGATATAGTAATATGTTTCAATTACATCTCTTCAAAAGATATGTGAAGATCATTTAATCCCTATAGACATGTACGCACACGCACACATGGGTGCGTTTCTCAAAATATGGAACCCTCTAACCCTCTCTGTGATGTATACTGGAACCTCTTACCCTCTGTGATGTATACTGGGACCTCTGACTCTCTGTGATGTGTTCTGAGACAGTGAGACCTTTATCCTGCTATCTCTTGTTCATAAATAACATGTGTGTTTGTGTAGCTACTGTTGGAACACCTGGAGTGCCTGGTCTCTCGTCACGAGCGCAGTTTGAGGATGACTGTGGTGAAGCGGCAGGCACAGAGTCCAGCGGGAGTCTCCAGTGAAGTGGAGGTCCTCAAGGCCCTGAAGTCTCTGTTCGAACACCACAAAGCCCTGGACGAGAAGGTAACCCAACCGCGAGAACCCACTCACAATCAACTGGTGATCTATTAAAAACTTTGGATTGAGAGACCAGAGAGACTGACCAGAGACTCTGGTCTCACTCTGGTTCCTCTCTTGTCCCACTCTGGTCTTTCTCTGATATCTGGCCTCTCTGGTCTTTCGCTTGTCTCTCTCTCTGGTCTCCCCGTATGGTCTCTGGTTTTTATTGATTGTATAGTTTCCTTTCTTAACTGTAAATCTTTGTGTAGGTGCGTGAGAGACTACGCGTCGCCCTGGAGCGATGCAGTGCATTAGAAGAGCAGCTCACCATCTCGCACAAAGAAGTACGTCAGTGTGCTGTGTGCATTTGTGTGCGTGTCTGTGTGTGTCTGCATTAATGGCTGGAGCAAAGAGTGTATTTGTGCTCAGAGTCAAAGAATAGTGGAAAATGTAAACACAGGTTTGGAATGCCCTTATCTCTTCCTGACTATCCCTCACAACTCCTCATTCAGATTCCGAAGCAGCACAATCCCATATGACAAGATACAGTTTTATACAGGGTTTAATATCATGGGTCAGTCTGTCCAGGTGTAGCCTTCTTCTTTTTGACCAGGAAAGTCCCACTGAAATGTCAGGCCTGTCCCAGAGAGAGGGGGCTATTGTACATGTCTTTATTGGTAGGGGAAACCGAAGCACCTGGAGAAAACCTACACGAGAAGAACATACAAAGTCCAGTTAGAAGGACCAAGTCCGGAGATGGCATCAAAAGCCTGTCTGGTCTCTCTTGTCTCTTTCTGGTCACCCTCTCTGTCCTCTCTGCTCTCTCTCTCTTTCAGATTTATTTCTCTTTTTCAGGGGAGTTTCATGGTCACAGAGAGACTGAAGCCAGTGTTTCCGCCAGGAAATCATTTGAGGGGGGGACTGCAAGGGGGAGGTCCGGTCCGATTCCCCAGAAAAATGTTGTTTAATGTTTATCGCGGTGGACATGTGTGCCTTTAATATGAGAGGTATTTGTGGGTATGGTTATATTCAAAGTATTAGAGTAAAATGAGTTCGTAAAACAACTGTGGCGCAGCGACGCAAAGCAGGAGCCGTAGTTCTGAGCGGAGCCAGAGCGAAACAGTGTTTTTTTACTCACGAGGTCTTCAGAGATCAGAGAAGTATTTGGTCTGGTACTGGTTCACTCGGATTCAGAGGAGGAAGACACGCAGGTGTTCAGTGAAGCAGACACAGACATTATTAGTGACAGCAGGCCATAATGCCGCGGGAAAAAACACACCTCTTTTGAAAGGGTAATATTGAAACCATACTTCAGATTTCATGACTGGTAAACTATAAGCAGTGCCTTCTTGAACACAATTTATTTGTATCCTTTCTGAGTGGAGTTTGCATGTTCTCCCCGTGTCTGCGCAGGTTTCCTCCGGGTACTCCGGTTTCCCCTACCACTAAAAATATGTACAATAGGTCTGGCATGCGCCTCCCGTTCGGCGACTCCGTTCCCATCTCTGTGTGGAGTGAGTGGACAAATGCCCAAAAATAACAATTGTAAACCGCTTTGTGACTCTGGTCTGTGAAAGGTAGTATATAAATAAAGATTACTTACTTACTTACTATCCCAAAATGTGTTTTCATCCTAAAGATATTTCACCTGGACGGTTGACCGTATTCCCTGATCTCAAAACACACTCCCAAATCCCAAAGATTTTTGAAATCTTTAAAGGATAATTTACATTTTCCAAAATGGCCGCCACCTTGATGACAACACAATACGCAAATTGGATGACGAATCAACATCCATCCCAAAGTTTGGTTCATACGGAAGATATTTCTTATTTACAATATGCCTTTATCTCAAACCACTTTAAAGTTATAGCCTTTTGAAATCTTGAAATCAAAATTGTACATTTTCTTGAAAAAACACCACTGCCTAAAGGGTTTAAAAGGCTTTGTGCTGCGTGAAAATCACTCGTCAATGGCCTGGGCCATCGTTGTCCAGAAGTTCAACTTTATAGCCCTTTGCGGGTTTTTTGTCCATGGTTTTTTCCAAGGACAAAATTAGCATACAGCAATTAACACTAGCAAACCCATGGAGGTGCCATTTGGCACTTCTACCTAAAAAGCCCACCACGGTGCCAAATGACTCCAAGGATTTTAGCTAACAAACTAAATCACCTGTGAACGGCCAACTTTGTTATGTAAATAAGGCCATTATCACAGGCTGAGCTGAAGTTGCTCAACCACTTTACTTTGTCTTCTTCGGGAGAGGGAGGATCTGTTTAGTTAAAATGAGTTAAATCTAGTGTCATGCTGACTTTAGTTAAAAAATAATAATGAAAATAATAAAGTGAATTGAAAGAAAACAAACGAGCAACGTCATTCAATGTATAAATTTACATTGTTTACAAAATAAATATGCTACTTACAGTTTTTCTCAGTGTCTTTGGTGCATTTATCACATAATTCTTCACATTTGCACGACAGTTAGTGCATTTATCAGAACAATTAGTACAAACTGCAAAACCTTGGGGATAACCTGTAAAAGTGCATCACCTTCTCAAAATGAAAAGTTTATTCCTCAAAAGCAAGTCTTCATGTCGAGGAAACTGTCTGTCTCAAAATAATAAGTCTTAACAACATGGAGTATGAACAACACAGTCAAATGACTTCGTCACGTTTTCATTGTGACACTTTACTCTCTGTGTTTTCAAAGCAAAAAATCTGATCTTGGTGAGCACTGTACAGCTGAAAACTACAGTAAAGTTACACACAACTGTATTTAGTGAGAGTAAAAGAACATTTATACTGTATGTACTGTATGTGTGTGTGTGTTTGTGCATGTATGTATTTACTGTGTGTGTGTGTGTGTTTGTGCATGTATGTGTTTCGATGTATGTCTGTGTACTGTATGTCTTTCACATATTTACTGCATATGCTCTTTTCTACAGCATTGTGCAACAGAAATACAGTCACATACATAGAGCAAACATACAGAATATCATTATGGTAGAACTGTGACAAATGTAAACAATAAAACACACACCTCGTCATGAGTGAAGCTGAAATTCGAAATTAGGAAAGATTTTCTGGATATAAAAAGATAAAGTAATGTATGAAATTAGTTTGACAGATTTTGGTTTTGAACAGTTTTGTATGTGATGACCAAAGCGATGAAATGAGGACTACTGGTTTTACAGAAACTATTCAGTCGTGAAAAGTATGTTTCATTCTGATTGACAGGACAGAAGCAAATGTTAATGTTATAAAACAGCAGAGAACTGTATGAAAGTAACTGATACATGTCCAAAAGCATTTGTAAAGTGTTCAAAGGAGAAACTGCCGCGATGATGTCACACACGACTCAATGTTGTGGAGGTTCTACCGTAATGATTTTTTGTATGTTTTTCTACGTAAATACTGTATGTGTACTATTTTTGTTGCAGAATGCTGTAGAATTGCAAAGAGCATAAGCAGTAAATATGTGAACATACAGTACATACATATGTATCACTAAATACAGTCACAATGAAAACATGACTAAATCATTTGACTGTTGTTCATAAACACTGATGTCAAGACTTATTCTTTTGAGATACAGACCGTTTCATTGACATGAAGACTTTCTTTTTGAGGAATTAAGTTCATTTTGAGAAAGTGACTTTTTAGCAGGTTATCCATGAGGTTTTGCAGTTTGCACTCATTGTTCTGAGAAATGCACTAACTGTTGTTAAAATGTGAAGAATTATGTGAAAAATGCACCAAAGACACTGAGAAAAACTGATTACAAAATATATACAGCGCATTCTCAGGGTACACAGCACATGTGTATCTGTGGTCTCACAGACTACTGTAGTACTCTCTTGCAGCTCTCCCTCCCCCGCACGAATAAACAAAGCCCACCCCAGCCCCCTGCTGTTATAAGTCATTACCTACATTTGCAAATCAATACATGCAAATGTTAGCAGCTAACCTAGCAAGTTAGCTCCCTCTTCTCAAAACAGGGGCCAATTTCGGTTGGGTTTTCTAGTGTTAACAGTCACACTGCTAGCAATCAGACATGGATTTACATGTGTCAATCTGAATGCTGTGATTCAGGAAACACGGCACGAAGATTGATTTTGATGTGAGAATTGTATACATGCATGTCTAAAAAAATTGAGGGGGGGATATCCCCCCCTAGGGCCATGGCGAGGGGGGGACTGATCCCCCCATTCCCCCTTCTGGAGGAAACCCTGGGAGCTACTGTACATGTTTTTAGTGGTAGGGAAAACCGGAGTAACCAGAGGAATACCTCTGCATATACGAAGAGAATATGCAAACTCCTCTTGGCCTTGTTCCGACATTCATTATTTATATTTATATTTTTTTTCTGGATTCAAATTCAAAATGGTTATACTATTACTAACTACTAATAATACTACTAACTACTAGTTAAAACTACTTTTAAAACCAGTAGAGCGTTGTGAGTTGATTTCAGTCACATTTTTGAGTAACTTTGAAACTGCTGCACGACAGTGTTGTGAAACCATCCATACCCGCTCCCATCTCTGTGTGGAGTGAGAGGACAAGTGCCCAAAAAATAACAATTGTAAACCGCTTTGTGACTCTGGTCTGTGAAAGGCGGTATATAAATAAAGCTTACTTACTTACTTACTCAGTATTCTGTCACAACCCTGTCACTAACACTAACCACGTTCTAATCCCTCACATGGTTCTCGGCATGGTGCTTTTGTGCAGTTGAGATGAGTGACGTTGACAGGCCCCTAGGGCGTGACCTAGATTTTTTCTTCTCTGCTGGAGTCACCTTTTGTCCATCATACTCAGCCCCTCCAACCAGCCTTTCACAAACCAGCGGCTCCAACCACCCACTGACGACAAATCAGCGGCACCAACCAGCTACTCACAAAATAGCGGCTCCAACCAGCCACTCACAAAGCATCATTTAAAAACCCACAGATAGGAGCGTCACAGTTTGGATAAAAAAGGCCATGAAATTACTACACCCTGCTTCCACCAACTCTACTCCACCCTCCACTCCACTCTACTCTACTTGGCTCTACTCTCCTCTACTCCACTCTCCCTCCGATTGTGAGTGTTTTCACTGGCCCTCTTTAACCAGTACCAGGATTCAATCCAGCCCAAGTTGGTACTTATGTGTTCTAACTGTGATTGGCCAGTGTGCTGTTGTTATGGTTACCAAGGAATATCCCCAGATACAGGTTTATTGTGGGTAGGTTTGCTCGTATACTGTACTGGATACTAAAGCGGAGTAGTGGTAGAGTAGAGTAGGGTAGGGGGCTATAGAAAGTGGCTGATCGCGTTTTCTGTCCAGTAGCACCCTAAATGTGGTTTTTGGTGTTGTTATTTATGGTTTCAGATCAGAAATGGTGTTGATATGTGCCTGACTGTGTCCTGTTGTGTTCAGATGTCTTACCTCAGGGAACAGAATAACATAAAGCGTGGTCAGGCTGATGGAACCAGCGAAGTCAACCACAGCGAGGGCCTCCCCAACACCAACGGCAAGGTACGTACAAACCACAGAGCGTAAATAAAGAGTGGACTGAGTGTGTAGGGCTGTTGCGATAAACGATATATTGATTTATCGTTACAGCTTCAATGAGTTCAATTTTTGCGAATGTGTGTTTGCTCTTTGTCAATAGCCTACCTACCTGACAACACATGGTCTCCTCATGTGTTGCGCAAGAGCCAATCAGAGGCATGTAATGTGCACACCGTGAGGAGTAAGCATAGATGTAATATATGGATGTAATATATTTATGTACTTGAAAGGAACTCCGCATCCTCTGTTGCCGCAGCGTTATGACCCCGGAGCAACAGCAGCCTCTTTTCTAGTGAATGAGCCGCTTTGACGACAGGCTATTTATTTTGTTTTCTAGGAGTATTTTTGGTTAACTGAGACTGAGTTTTCTAGAACAGTGTTAAATGTTTTAAGAAGAAGAAGCAAAATTTTTATCTTGACAGGCCTGTGAGTTTGACATCACACCAGTGTCAGCCTTAATGCAGAAGAGGCCGATTTGAACAGAAGCTAGCTGGAGCCAATTTCCTTATGGGCATTTGTTCCAAGCTTCAAGTCATAACAGAGGCTGATGTTATGCTAGGACTGTTGGAGTTGAGGCAAGCTGGACTTTCCCCACTCAGCCATGAGTGAATGAAGGCATTCACTCATGGCTTGTATCTGGATTTACCTTATGGGCTTTATCGATCTGTATACAGTCTATGGTTTAACCTGGATTTGAGCATTGTCAGAGTTGAAGCCTGTTACACATTTTCAAGTTCCATAGCTGCATGAACTGAAACGCTGTCGCCCCACTTAAGTGGTTCTCACCCCCGCTCCTCGGAGCTTACGTCACTCACATTTCCTGTTCAAATCTTCCTCTAAATGGGCGTAGCCTGGAGGACTAAAGGGGGCGTGAACGAGACTGGGCCGTTTATATAGCTCTGGGCAGGGGGCTGCTGACGTCAGGTCTTGCTTCAGACGTCAGGTCTTGCTGCCGCGCCAGTGTTGGCGCCAGATTCAAAATTCAAATGTAGTAATACAGGTCGCCAGCAGATGGCGCCTCACAGACGGTTTTAGGCAGAAAGTTTAACTTTCAACTAATTTGCACCAAAGTGACAAAATAATGACCAGGATATGTAGACAACACTATTCGACACTCATTTATACCGTTTATCAGCAAAAAAAAAGTGGATTTGAGGGTGAGTTGTCCTTTAAAGAACCAGAGAATCTCACTTGTCTTTTCTTCTCCCTGCAGCGTGCGTCGGGCGACTCTCTCAGTCTGGAGGAGGAGATGACGCCCCTTGTGGTGGGGAAGGTGGGGGATCTACAACAGGTGGTGGACCGGCAGACAGCGGACCTGGGGCAGATGAAGGAGCGGATGGCTGCGATGGTGTCCCGGATCAACGAGCTAGAGGAGGATCTGGACACAGCGAGGAAAGACCTAATCAAGTCAGAGGACGTCAACACGCGGCTACAGAGAGACCTGAGAGAGGTGGGACCAGAGAGAGAGTGGCTTGTTAAAGGCTTGTTAAATCCATAAAAGAGGAAAGATAAACTAAATGTATAAGATTTATGTGAGTAATCAAACTAAAAAACAAATGGCCAAGCGGAACAATAATACTCCAAATCCAACGCAAGGCTCAAATGTACTAAATAAGGTTCTCAGTCGTGAAAAAAACGACTACTCTCCCTGACACCAAATACAAACAGAATGATGACGTTTTAGGCAACAGTTTTGACAATTATTTCAATTCTATAGGAGAAACTCCCGCAAATACCATACATCCACCAGTAGGTGCTACTATTTCAAAAGTAATTACCCAAACTCACTATCCCTGGCACTAAGTGACAAAACAGAGGTGCTTAATATCATTACAGCCATGAAAAGCTCCTATACAGTTGGGGTAGATGCAATCTCTAGTAAAATTGTAAAATTCATGGCACAAGAATTAATTGACCCTAGTCTATTGTATATCTATTTGAAACACATCAACATTATTGTAATAACACATGGAGTGACACTTATCCAAGTTATTTACATCAAAAGAAGGTAATATGAGCCATAACATGATTTAATTTCAATGCTCCCTCAAATCTGAAACTCATAGAGTAATATTACATAATGCATGTGTGAGGTATAATGTTGGGTATAATGGATTCAGGGTGACAGTAGCTCAGTTGGTAGAGCATTGGCCTTTGAGCCAGAGGGTCGTGGGTTCGAGCCCGACTTTCACCATCGACTCCCACTGTCTACTGTCGTTGTGTCCTTGGCAAGACACTTAACCTCTGGGAACACCAGCCACAGTGGGGCGGCTGCGGCTGTAAAGTGCCAAACTGCCGTTGTGTCCTTAGGCAAGACACTGTACCCCCATTGCCTAGAATGAGTCTGGTGTGTGTGTGAATGGTTGGTGGTGGTCGGAGGGGCCGATGGCACATACTGGTTGCCTCGCTTCTGTCAGTGTGCCCCAGGGCAGCTGTGGCTACAGTAGTAGTTTATCACCACCGTGTATGGAGTGAAAGAATAATGACATGTAAAGCGTCTTTGAGTGTTCAAAAAAGCGCTATATAAAACCGATGCATTATTATTATTATTATTATTATTATTAAACTGAATGATCGGCTCTGTCAGCTCATTCCTATCACCTCTTTGACACATACACGTAACACTAGAAAAAAACACTGGCTGAAGGGCAAACGCTGCAAACTCAACTGCACCAGCTTTAGTATCATATGTAAAGGCTTAACATCTGGAATGAACTGAACAGTTTTACAAAAGTTCAGTTCAATTCAATTTATTCTTGTATAGCCCTAAATTACAACAGTAGTTATCTCGGAGGACTTGACAAAACCGTTATATTCGCCAACACAGATCGGAAAATCAAACAGTTCAAACTCAAGAAATGCAACGACGAAAAAAAAAACACAGAGCCATTGGTTCATAAGGGGCAGATGACCAATTTCCATAAATGTTCGTAAGTGTTCATAAATGTTGTTGAATATTGAGTGTTAAAGCTATATAGGAGGATTTTTCCCAAATTTTAAGATAGAACCGCCCTCTCCACACATTTTCTACCTGCTCCCGAGAGGGAACACCTAAAACGGGTGCAAAAGACATGCACATGCCCAGTTCTCCTCGTGCACGCTCTGTTTACAAGTCACTGTCGGCATCGCTCACACAAGCTCACTTTCCAAGAAGACTGGCACTTTTCCCTCTATGTCAGACAAAAAAGACGTACATAACTTTTACTATAACTTTTACACACAGGGGTGTGACGATATATAGATTTTTCGATATATCGCCATACTTTCTCCCGCGATTCGATTATCGATATGCATTTGCCAAGTATCAATATAGATTTTTTGTTTTGTTATTGTTACAAATTATTTTTTTAAATTGGTATCAATACTTAATATATGGCTACATTACGCATCTCCATTCCATTTATCATGAAATAAAGTGTATTTTTTCTTTTATTTATGCCATAAATTGGCATATTGTATATTACTGACCAATATATCAATAATCGTCATATCGTGATAAAATCATTATTGTGTTATCATGATATCATTATCGTGATAATATCGTTTTCGTGATAATATCGTTATTGTGAGCTTTGTATCGTGTATCGTATCGTGAGGTACCCTTAGGTTCCCACCCCTAGTGGGAAGCCCAACCTGGGCTTTCAGCGCATGCCATCTCCCAAAACACTCTGGTCTTGTTTTACGAGCACGTACGACGGCCTTAAGTCACATATCACCCTAATGATTGACAATTAGGAGGACCAATAGTCTTGATGGATCCACCTGGAATAAGAAAATCCTCCTAATCTACAGTACCGTTAAGCAAATGTTTGCAGCTGAGGCCCCTTCCCATTGGTCTAACTATAACAGAAAATATTAATGGTGAGGCTTATTCCAAGGGGAAGATCTCTAAAAATATATTCATAAGCTTTTTGCTTCAGCCCTCTCCTTTTGTGCAGTATTAATACTGTTCAAACAAATAAATAAAAGTTTTCATGAAAAATACTTTAAATCATACATCCGACATGCTCAAAAAAGATTCTTTTCAACAGGTAGCACTCCAAACCTAAACTTGCATAAATATAGTTATAGTTCTTTAACAGCAGTTTATACTGTCTGCAGTCGATGGCGCAGAAGGACGACATGGAGGAGAGGATCACGACTCTGGAGAAGCGGTATCTGGCCGCACAGAGAGAAGCCACCTCAGTCCACGACCTCAACGACAAACTGGAAAACGAAGTGGCCAACAAGGACTCGCTCTTCAGACAGGTGCACTACACTACAGTTGCTCTGTTCTTGTGGTGCCCCCTGCGGGTTACCTCTCTTCTGTCAGTGTGCCCCAGGGCAGCTGTGGCGTAGTTTAACACCGCTTTGTATGGAGTGAATGAATAATGCTGTGAGAGTTCAGAAAAGAGCTGTATATAGAAACACAAATGTCCTCTTATTGCTTTCAATCTTGCTACTAAAAGTTATTTCATTTACATCCATTATATCTTAGAGTTTAATTTCAATTCAATGTATTTGTGTAATCCCTATATCACAACAGTATTCATCTCAGAGGCCTTTACAATGTTGTGAATTCTCCAACAACAGATCAGAGAATCAAACCGCTTGAACACAGGAAAATCCATAGGGAAGCACTGTTACCACCTTCATTTGAGTACTTGCCGATACCGAATACCGATACGAGTACTGCATTGTGTTATCCCTGGGAATTCATAAAAATAACACAACTGAAATCCAAAATGTTTTTTTTCTCATTTCAATAATAGAAAATACTTTAGCAATTAAACATTTTTGCAATTGTTTAAACAGTCATCGTTAAGAGCCACTGTCACATTCCACTCAAAGAAATAGCTCCGGTGCTAGCAAAGGTGTTATACTCTGCGTGGTGGTTTTAAGAGAGAGAGAGAAAGAAAAAGTCCTTTATTTTTCCCACAATGGGTACATTCCAGTTTGATGCATACACATACACATATAGATACTGTATACAAATACACATCAAGGCAAGCAGCGAACATCACTTCTGCGCTCCTTATAGGCAAAGAGTTGCTGGTTTGTTTTGGACCCACTTTGTGACAGTTTTGCCTTACACTTACTTGACAAACAGATAGAAGCCATTGGTCCATATAGGGAGTGGGATGACCACTGTTCAGAAATGTTGACAAATGTGCAGAAATGTCCCTGATCATCACTGTCCTTAGACTCTCCTGCATCGACAAGGAACCATCCACCAGGATCAAAAACCCAGTGGGAAAAAGCGAGAAACCTCAGGAAGGCCCATATTTAGAGAGGGGGAGGTTTGAAATTGCAGCCCTTCTCACCATTCTATTTCTGTAAGAAGTATGGTTTACTGCACAAACACAAGGAAAACTACTGGGGTATTTGCAGTCATCTAAATACATTTCAAAATAATAATCTTTTTAATCTACTTGGGCTGTGACCTCAATCTTAACTAAAACGACTTCTCAAGTTCATACTGCAGACCTGTCTGCTCACAATATGTACTCACTGTTTTCAGACTGAGGAGAGAAACCGTCAGCTTCAGGAGAAACTAGAGTTGGCCGAACAGAAGCTGCAGCAGACGATCCGGAAAGCAGAGACGCTCCCAGAGGTGGAGGCCGAGCTGGCCCAGCGAGTGGCTGCTCTCACAAAGGTGAGAACCCAGAGAGAGTGAGAGAGAGACACACACACACAGACCGACCAGTGAAAGAGAAACCAGGTGAAAAAGACCACAGAAAGACAGAGAGTCTGACACAGACGCATTGCTAAGACGGTTGCTAAGGCAAGTCGCAGCTTCCCCGAGAATGAAGGCCTTTGATTGGTCAATCCTTATATGGCTCATATCTGAATTTACAAAGAGGATATCACAATATAAACACCAGGATTGCAGAGATTTTTAAGCCCAAAACGGTGAGTGTGACACAAACAGTTACTGAGCTAGAGGAACACTAGGTCAATAGGAGCCAGGAAGGGTTTGCTTAATCCATCTTTATCTATACAGTCTATGGGTTCAATCCAAGAAAATAACTGTGCAGACACACTGCAGCCAGAGCACAAACACTAATAAGGAACCAACTTTTTCTGAAGTCAAACTATAGAGGGGTAAAAGATGCAAAAACTATAAAATAGACAGTAAAGTCTGTATAGTCTGTAAAAAGAGGCTGAGCTATTCTCACTACACAAACAACGACTTTCACTTCCTCTCAGGGGCTGAGCAAAGTTAGAAAATGCTGAGACTATTGTGAGTAAAACAACACAGGGGTTTCAGTAATTTTACTTTCTAGCAGTGTAGACCAGGGCTTTCATTGTGTTTCCTGTTATGCTATCTAACACTGGCTCTTGTCTGGTGGAAAACCAAGCCCATTTCAAGGACCAGTCCAACCATTAAAAAATACAAGATATTTATAAATATTTGTTTTAAATAATTACACCTAAATATACAACATGTAGAAACCGTAACAAAGTTATGAAGAACAAAAACGTACATGAGCAGTAATTACACTTCCAATAGCCGCCATATTGACTGCAATGGGAATTTTGGTTTTGTTACGTTGGCGGTTGCGCTGGACCTACGCAACCACAGTTGCTCGTATACTCGCGCGTTACCCCCATATACACGCCCCCTGCTCAATTCAGAAGAGATGTTGTAATCCCACGCCACACCCACATGATGGCGATCTCACAGGAGTTGCCTGGGACACCAAAGCTAGCTACGTTCTCCTCTTCTGAACAAAAACAATAGCAAACCAAGCTGTTTGAGCTCATTAAATGTGTTTCTAGACGTAGGTTTATGTGACAGTTCTATGGACTCTTTGGAATTGTGATGCTGTGCAAAAAAAACAGAAAAACAATAAGTGATAATTATCTGAGACCAAACATGAACTATTTACAAGAGCAGGATGACTATACAAGTGCAGATTAAAACAAAGACACAGGAACAGTGCAGAAGAAACAATTGTACAGTTTATAAGTCGATATGTAACAAAGCTCTAGTCCACAGCCTCCGCGTATATATCTCTGAGCCGTGTATTTGGCTCTGAGCCATGAGCCCAAACTGCTTTTCCTTCGGTTTCTTCGAAGCACGAAGCAATCTGCTCAGTGCCTCGTCCATGTTCCCCGCAACCGCTCCATGCTTCCATCCAAAACACACACACAGGCCAATAACAATGGACCTGTTATTACAGCGCCGGCTGCGTAGTTAGAAAATGTGGAGGGTGAGTGGATGGCTACACAAGGGTCTTGCATTGGTCAAGTGACGTCACGAGGCCGCCGTAAGCTCAGTGCTGCGCGAGTATACACTAGGCTTAACAACATCACTGTGGGAATGTTGATCCTTGTTCTGAAAAAAATTAAATCAACTGTTTGATGATTTCAGGCAGAGGAACGGCACGGTAACGTGGAGGAGCGGCTGCGGCAGCACGAGGCCCAACTTGAGGAAAAGAACCAGGAACTGCTGCGGGTGAGAGACTGTGTTACTCTACACCACTATTCTACACTACCCTTCAATACACTACTCTACTCCATACAACACGACAAACCAAACCATTATCTGGCCATTCACTGTCTGCTAGAACACTTTATACTAGTGTAGAGTAGAGTAGAGTAGAGTAGAGTAGAGTAGAGTAGAGTAGAGTAGAGTAGAGTAGAGTAGAGTAGAGTAGAGTAGAGTAGAGTAGAGTAGAGTAGAGTAGAGTAGAGTAGAGTAGAGTAGAGTAGAGTAGAGTAGAGTAGAGTAGAGTAGAGTAGAGTAGAGTAGAGTAGAGTAGAGTAGAGTAGGGTAGGGTAGGGTAGGGTAGGGTAGGGTAGGGTAGGGTAGGGTTGTATGTGATAGTGTGATGTCAGTGTACCACTATGACATCACATTCTGAGCCTTTTCCAGAAGTATAATAAAGTGTTTTTTTTGGGGGAAATTACAATGTTTGTATTTACAGCTCCCTCTGGTGGCAGCAGAGGGAGTTTCAGGTGGAAAAACATTTTTAACCTTCTCACGTTTTCCCTATTTTTTCTCCTGAAGATATTATTTTACATTCAAACATGACCTGACAAGTAAACGGTCTCATTATGATTTTGAATGGGCCATAATCCGCCTTTTTCCTACCTTATCGCGTTGAAGGCGCGGCAGAGAGAAAAGATGAACGAGGAGCACAACAAGCGTCTGTCCGAGACTGTGGATAAACTTCTGTCCGAGTCCAATGAGAGGCTGCAGCTCCATCTGAAGGAAAGGATGTCTGCGCTGGAGGAGAAGGTAGAGAACCACACACTGCACCACATGTGTTGAATTAGGGGTTGGATGAAGCGGACAAAATTCAGCTCTGCTTAAACTTTTCCTCTATGTCTTTGGTAGAATTCCCTGATCAGAGAACTGGACCATACTAAGAAGCTGATCGAGGAGTCGCACCATGAAAAGGTAAAGCCACATTTTCTCTGGTGGATTCCAAATTTCATGTCTGCTCCCTGGAGAAGCTTCTCTCTGATCTGGTCTTTCTCTGGTCTCCATCTCTCTCTGGTGTCCATCTCTCTCTGGTCTCTCTTTCTCTCTGTTCTCTCTCTGCTCTCTCTCCGGTCACTCTCTTTGGTTTCTCGCTCCAATCTCTCTCTAGCGAATTCTAGATTTTATGACTATGTGATGTTGTGGCTGCTTCCAGGAGCAGCTTCTGATCCAGATTGAAACCATGAGAGCAGAGAGCGAGCAGGACCGAAGCCGGAGCAACTCTCTGCTACATGGGTAAGACTGCACCGCTCATTATGATAACTAAAGCTCCCAACAAATTAAACAGCTGTCCTTTAACGGTTACAGTTTTTAGTGGTAGTCATCCTCCCTGGTCTCTCTCTCAGCAGTAGAATAGTGTCTGCGTGTGTTGTGTCTGTGGTCCTCATAATGCATGTTGTTCAGGCGTCTTCAGCTGAGCTCCACTCCTGACTTCAGATATCCGGTGTCTGCCTCCTCGATGATGGACAACAGCTCTGACCACTACAATAGCGCTCTGGTTCTACGGCGGCCTCAGAAAGGACGAGTGGCAGCCCTGAGAGACGAGCCCTCCAAAGTAAGAAACACCACCTGTGACTATAGTCCAAAGTAACCGTGACTCTTGGGCTCAAACAGCAACATTCGCCCCATTACCATCAGCCCTTTACCCCACCCCAGTCTCTACTCTGCTCTGCTCTATTCTGATCTCTCTCTGGTCTTGCTCTCAGGCCTCTCTCCCCCTCTGGTCTCTCTTTGTTCATGTTCTATCTTTGGTCGCTCTCTCTCTCTCTTCTCTCTCTCTGGTGTCTCTCTTATCTATGGCCACACATTCTGAAAACTTATGCACACAACTGTACATATTCTTTTTTCACTGATTTTTATTGGTTTGAAGTTATCTGCTGATTCATTGTGGTGCTCTGAAAATAAATGACTTTTCTTCCATTTCTCCCTCTCTGCTTGCTCTGTGGACGTCAGCGTCATGTAAGTTATTGCACTTAATACAAACGCTTGCTTTGCTTTATTGTCTTTAACCACAAACAAGCTGTACCAGATCTGACCATATTTTTGAAGAAATGAGAAAACCATCACTAGTTACTAAACTGTTGTAGAGCCCAGTGTGAGGTTCTCATTCGGGTCTCTCTTTGGTCTCTCTCTGGTCTTTATCTTTTCTTACTCTGGTCTCTATCCTGTCTCTCTCTCTTTTTCGTTCTAAAGCTAACAGTTGACACACCAATAATAATAACTCATTAATTTAGTGAATACAGTACAGTACAGACCAAAAGTTAGGACACACTTTCTCATTCAATGAGTGTCCTTTCTTTTCATGACTATAGCCTGTAGATTCACACCCAGGCTGTGTAAGGGCTATTTGACCTATGAGGAGAGTGGTGGGTGCTGAGCCAGATGACCTGGCCTCCACAGTCACCGGACCTGAACCCAATCCAAATGGTTTTGGGGTGAGCTGGGCCACAGAGTGAAGGCGAAAGGGCCAACAAGTGCTAAGCATCTCTGGGAACTCCTTCAAGACTGTTGGAAGACCATTTTAGGTCACTACCTCTTGAACCTTATCAAGAGAATGCCAAGAGTGTGCAAAGCAGTAATCAGAGTGCTACTTTGAAGAACCTAGAATATAAGATATACTTTCAGTTGTTTCATACTTTTTTTTAAGTACGTACATTAGTCCACATGAGTTAATTAATTGTTTGGATGCCTTCAGTGTGAATCTACAATTTTCATAGTCAAGAAAAAAAAAAACTCTTTGAATGAGAAGGTGTGTCCAAACTTTTTGGTCTGTACTGTACGTGCCAAACACTGCAATCTGATTTTTAAATGCAGTAAAAAAATAAAAAGAATAAAAAATATTGCTATTTCACAGACCTGTTGTGTGATAGGTGCAAACAGTGAGTATGTGTAGAGCGTATATTTGGAGTGGACTCGTATGGACAGTTTGGCATCACCATAGTGTTTCCCTTAATGCAGAAGAAGCCAATCTGAACATAAGCTTGGGCTCATTTCCTTAAATGGGCATTTCTTTTGAGGCTTTAATAACAAGGGCAGACGTGTTGCTATGCGGTTGCCCAGGCAAGCTGTAGTTTTCCCTGCGAATGAAGGCCTCTGATGATTGGTTAATCCTTATGTGGCTCATTTCTTTCTGGTCTCTCTCTGGTCTCTCTCTCTGGTCTCTCTCTCTGGTTTCTCTCTCTTGGCTCTCTTTCGGGTCTATCTTGTCTCTCACTGGTCTCTCTCTTGTCTGTGCGTTCTCCCTGGTCTCTCTGGTCTATCTCTGATCGGTCCTGCTGTCTCTCTCAGTTGGTATTTTTCATTTGTGATACAATCCCTGGTGTTGTTTCTCAGGTGCAGACTCTGAACGAGCAGGAGTGGGAGCGCATGCAGCAAGCCAACGTGCTAGCTAACGTGGCGCAGGCCTTTGAGAGTGATATGGATGCGTCAGACCTGGAGGAGGACAGAGATGCTCTCTTTAGCTCAGTGGACATGTTGTCTCCTGCGGGACAAGCCGATGCACAGACACTGGCCCTGATGCTGCAGGAGCAACTAGACGCCATCAACAATGAGATCAGGTGAGACCAGAGCAGTGAGAGGTACCAGTATAAATCAAAAAGAAGGTTTGAGGCCAACTGGAAAAATGAAACAAAGCAATAAAATGGATAAAGATTTTAAAAGTCATGCCTTTGTTTTAGCCGGACACATGCACAGCATTGTGAGGCTGCGGTCACATGCACAGCCTAAAGTCCGGTCCACTTTGCGATTAGATTCGGGCTTTAGATGCTATAGTATGTGACCGCGGCAACTGGGCTTGGGTACAGTTGCTGCAAGTGGGCCTGAGCACGGTTGAGAGAGGTGGGCCAGAGCACGCTTCTAAAGCCCAGATGAGGGGGGGTCAGTGTGGCGGGTGGTGGGGAGTGGGGGATGAGGTGTGGTGGGGACTTGATATTGTGCGTCACAGCACGTCTTCCGTTGTGATGCGCATTTTCACACACGTCTCTCCCTGCACTTTTGTATTCTCCGCTTGTGTTAAACTTTTCATATAAGCCCCCGGACCGTGGTCTCACAGTGTGGTGCTATTGCAATAACAGACATTCAAGAAGCTTTTAGCGCTATAGTAGCAGAGTGCAAACAGGAAGAGAAACGGAAACTTAACTCGGACAATGAGATCATCGCTTAAGTTAGTATTAGCGCCACCAGCTGGGTCGAGCATTTTACTACAGTGCAATTGGTCTGGCACACTTGAGAGAATAAACCCTTGTGATGGCGGGCCGTCTTTACACTCGTGTGGAAACGATCCGGGCCACTTGGCCTTGTTCGTTTGTAAAAACCTATGTGACCGTACCCTGAGATCCCTGCTCCTCTGTGTTATATTAATAAACTTGACTTATTTGACTTCAGAATGATCCAGGAGGAGAAGGAGAGCACTTCGATCCGTGCTGAGGAGCTGGAGTGCCGGGTGGGCAGCGGTGAGAGCCTGGGCTCCCGCTTCAGGTCCATGAGCTCCCTGCCGCCCTCCCTCTGTCCAGGCTCATCTTTGGGGAACTCTCCCCCAGGTTCCGGGAGCTCCACCCCCAGGATGGTGTCACGCAGCCCCCACCGTGAGATGGACCGAATGGGGGTCATGACGCTGGTGAGACTCCTTATCCAATCCGTTCTCTCTCTCTGCCCTCTCTGGTCTCTCCTTGGTCTTTCTCTCTGGTCTCTCTCCCTGGTATTTCTGTTCTCTCGCTGGCCATTCTCTTCAGTCTTTCCCTTTTGTACTAATGCAAAACTAATCCTATTTTTTTGTGTGGCTTCATTAACCCTCGCATCAGCATCATTTCTACGATCCGTACATCATCCAGAGCTCCCTATCACAGCAGACGGTCACAGTCATGCCATGCTCCCCCCCTGGGTTCCTACCCCAGTGCCCTCATCCCTGTTCCGCCCCTGGGTTCCTCCCACAGAGTCCTCTTCCTTGTTCCCCCCCTGGGTTCCTCCCCCAGGCCCAGTGCCCTCTGCCCTACAGTTACCCACCCCACTACCCACAGGTATCACTTCAAACCACGTCTTTTGGTGGGTGCGGTCTGGTCTGGTTTATAAAAGTCAATCAATTTTTTATTTATTTCAATAAGGTTGATTCAATTAAATTTATTTGTGTTAAACCTCTTCCTATTAAACCTGCTGAAACGGAAATCAGTCAATAGATTTACCCACCGTAAAAGAAATCCAGCAGAAACTATGCCACGTTTATTTGCTTTGGTAATGCCAGGCTGGTGTGGAATGCAAGAGAAACCCCTACTGCTGCTGCCTAGTTTGAAAATATGAGACCGCCTTATATGGATTTAATGCTGTTGGCATAAATGTGGCATAAAGTGGTGTAGTCCTCTTATATTTAATGATCGGCTGCTCCCACCATCCATTGGTGTGTGTGCGTGTGCATGTGCGCGTGGTGGTTTGAACTGGATCTAGAGTTTTTTTCTCCTCAGTGGTGTGGACTTATTTACTCTTTAAGAATATTTTCTATTTTCATATTTACTATTTACAGATTTGAAGAACACTGTATTTATCTTTTGTATTTTTGTTGTTGCTGCATACACATTCTTTCTATAGACTGTACTGATCTGAGCTTTTCTCCATGTTCCAACACGGTTCCTCCTCAATCAAAACCCTGGAGTTAAAATTGTGGCTCAAATATAAAACTCCGCCCCTTTTGTCTGAAAGCTCCTGTCTCAGTTCTGTAATAGTATGATGTCATTGTAACACTATGCGAGAGACCAGAGAGAGAGGGAACAGAAAGGAAGACCCGAGAGAGACACCACCATGACATCACTCTCAGAGCCGTTTCCTGCCTTTAGAAGTATTGCCCACAAGTTTTGGTGATTTTTATTTTACAATCACATGTATGTGCTTGCAGATGGTAATCTTAAAACCCGTTTATCTCCTCGCTCTGTGTGTGTTGTAGTTCTTTTATAGTCACTTGTGAGGTCTCTGCTGTATTCAACGCTGTACTTTTATTCAAAAGTGCTGTGAACTTCACTGTGTTCCATCTGCCTCTGGATTTTCTTTGATGCTGAAAACCACACTTTGTAGTGTATCTTGTTTGATGCATAGCTTTGGTTTGGCTCTGTGGCTTTTGTCTAACCCTCAAACACTTTTCTATTCCTCCTTTTTCATGCCGCGCTTCAGCCTAGTGACCTGCGCAAGCACCGCAGGAAGGTAATCTAGAAGCAACTCTTCCAAGTCTCCTCATGAACCCAAGAGAATTATTTAGTTGAACAGGCTTGTATACAAATAGGAACCTTGAGTGGAAGCCCTTTTTACAGAGGAAGAGAGAGGATCAAGAGAGACAAGCGAGAGAGACTAGAAAGACACTAATGAGACAGTAAAGTGAGAGACTAATGAGAAAGACTAGAGGGAGAGATTTAAGACACAGAGAGAGAGACTAAAGAGAGAGACAGTGAGAGGGGCAGAGAGTAAAGCCAAATACAGGGTCCTACAATTCAAAAAACTATACTCTCAGAAATTCTCTACATGTGTAATAAACAATTTTACTCTCACTTTAACTGTTTCTGCATAGATAGCATATAGAAGCATGTATTTAATTGGTAAATGTGCATCTTCATATTTGTGGCAGTTTTTCAATACTCTTTAGACTTCATACTGCTGATGTCACATGGTTGAAATACATTGTGGCCAAAAGAGAAACCAGAGTGAAAGGGGACAGGGAGGAGATGTACCAGAGTGAGACTAGAGAGAGAAGAAAGAGAGAGAGCCAAATACAGATTTCATACAGCTGAGATGTATAAAGTGACTAGTAATCCATTGTTGCAAAAAGATGCTAAATGAGTCTATTTAGATGCACATGCGTTTTCAGTGATAGTTGTGGTCTGTAGTTTAAGCGTTGGTGTCTGTGCTCAGTCTGCTCAGGACAACAAAGCCACAATCGACTGTGAGAGCTCTCCACCGTCGACGCCACGCTCCATCCGTCTGAACCGGGACACTGGGCACGCCGCAAGCCACGAGGACATCAGGGACTTCAGAGGGTGAGGGAGACAGAGGGACCAGAGAGCTGAGGAGAGCTAGAGACCAGAGAGCTAGAGACCAGAGATACAGACAAAAGATGGAGACCAGAGAGATGGAGACCAGAGAGATGGAGACCAGAGATATAGAGACCAGAGATATAGAGACCAGAGATATAGAGACCAGAGAGCTAGAGACCAGAGAGCTAGAGACCAGAGAGCTAGAGACCAGAGAGCTAGAGACCAGAGAGCTAGAGACCAGAGAGCTAGAGACCAGAGAGCTAGAGACCAGAGAGCTAGAGACCAGAGAGCTAGAGACCAGAGAGCTAGAGACCAGAGAGCTAGAGACCAGAGAGCTAGAGACCAGAGAGCTAGAGAGAGAGCTAGAGACCAGAGAGCTAGAGACCCAGAGAGCTAGAGACCAGAGAGCTAGAGACCAGAGAGCTAGAGACCAGAGAGCTAGAGACCAGAGAGCTAGAGACCAGAGAGCTAGAGACCAGAGAGCTAGAGACCAGAGAGCTAGAGACCAGAGAGCTAGAGACCAGAGATACAGACAAAAGATGGAGACCAGAGAGATGGAGACCAGAGAGATGGAGACCAGAGAGATGGAGACCAGAGAGATGGAGACCAGAGAGATGGAGACCAGAGAGATGGAGACCAGAGAGATGGAGACCAGAGAGATGGAGACCAGAGAGATGGAGACCAGAGAGATGGAGACCAGAGAGATGGAGACCAGAGATCACAGATGGAGAGCGAGAGAGAGAGAGGAAGGAACCAGAGAGAGGACCTTATCTTCCAGATTTAAAATTACCTTTTCTTTTGCTTTGTTCCCTGTGTGTTTAGCCTTCAGGACGGACAGGGCAGTAACCCCAGCAGTAGCAACAGCAGCCAAGACTCTCTGAACAAAGCTGCCAAAAAGAAAAGCATCAAGTCTTCCATTGGCCGCTTGTTTGGGAAGAAGGAGAAGGGTCGACCCAGCATCCCGGGCCGCGATTCCAGCAGCCAGGGTACAGGACAAGACCCTGTCTACACACACTCAGGATCTGATACAACACATGCATACACTCCCGGTTTCAATGTGTCTACATGGAACCAGATTCTGAACTTCAGGGTTTTTACAGTGTGTTTTTATTTCATGTACACTTATGTGTCCTCGGATATTACTTACATCTGTAGGTAATAGTGTTCGTCGGAGCAGGGTCTTGGAGTGCTCCGACCCATCAATCACTTTAACCCACTGAGGCCGGGAACGCATTCCCGCGTTTCTACCTTCTAAGCCGGGAGCGCTGTTGCGCACTTCTACCTTTAAGGCCGGGAAAGTGGACACGTCTTTTTTTCTTTTTTTGACTTATTCTCTTCATTGATCTATTCTCTTGACATTGAAATGCATCAAGATATACCAGTGATGAGACTTTTTTGCGGATCCGCAAATTCCAACTTTATCTCGCTGAAAATATAATTTCTGTGAAATGTGAAAGCCACAAGTTTCAGCTCTCAAATTCTTTAGAAATTATGTTTCTATCTGCTAGAGAAGCCGAGATAACAATCATTTAGTAGACGTTGAATTTCAAGAAAACTTTAGGTTTTGGAGGGTGGTTCTAAAGTCGGCCATAGGTTTTACAGGTGTGTTTTACCAGGTGTGTCAGGCCTTAATGGGTTAAGACAAGAAAAAGGGATAGGAACACGCACGCACACACACGTACACATAAAATACAATGGATTTGATGTGCTAGAAGTAAATCTATAATATGGGTATTTTAAACAAATATAATGGGTTTTTTACACCTGTACAAACCAGTGTCCTCATTTGACCTTCATTCTGGTAATGTGTCTGCTCTTTTGTAGCTGGGACTCCTGAAGCGGAAAGCTCTCCAAAGGATGGATTGGGGATGGGCACTTTGTCAGGGACTGCAGAGAAGACCAGGAAACTCCAGAAAAAGTCAGTCCACAAATACTGTATATACGTTAAGACTTTTAACATTACCACAGGGGGTCTCAAACATGTGATCTGCAATAAGGTATTCTGTGGCCCTCTAGTGGATATCAGAGTTACAGTGCCTTGCGAAAGTATTCGGCCCCCTTGAACCTTTCAACATTTCGCCACATTTCAGGATTCAAACATAAAGATATAAACATTTAATTTTTTGTCATGAATCAACAGCAAGTGGGACACAATTGTGAAGTGGACTGAAATGTATTGGATAATTTAAACTTTTTTAACAAATAAAAAACTGAAAAGTGGGGCGTGCAATATTATTTGGTCCCTTTACTTTCAGTGCAGCAAACTCACTCCAGAAGTTCAGTGAGGATCTTTGAATGATCCAATGTTGTCCTAAATGACTGATGATGATAAATAGAATGCACCTGTGTGTAATCAAGTCTCCGTATAAATGCACCTGCTCTTTGATAGTCTCAGGGTTCTGTTTAAAGCGCAGAGAGAACCATGAAGACAAAGGAGCACACCAGGCAGGTCCGAGATACTGTTGTCGAGAAGTTTAAACCCGGATTTGGATACAAAAAGATTTCCCAAGCTTTAAACATCTCAAGGAGCACTGTGCAAGCCATTATATTGAAATGGAAGGAGTATCAGACCACTGCAAATCTACCAAGACCCGGCCGTCCCTTCAAACTTTCATCTCAAACAAGGAGAAGACTGATCAGAGATGCAGCCAAGAGGCCCATGATCACTCTGGATGAACTGCAGATAACTACAGCTGAGGTGGGAGAGTCTGTCCATAGGACAACAATCAGTCGTGCACTGCACAAATCTGGCCTTTATGGAAGAGTGGCAAGAAGAAAGCCATTTCTCAAAGATATCCATAAAAAGTATCGTTTAAAGTTTGCCACAAGCCACCTGGGAGACACACCAAACATGTGGAAGAAGGTGCTCTGGTCAGATGAAACCAAAATCGAACTTTTTGGCCACAATGCAAAAACGATATGTTTGGCGTAAAAGCAACACAGCTCATCACCCTGAACACACCATCCCCACTGTCAAACATGGTGGTGGCAGCATCATGGTTTGGGCCTGCTTTTCTTCAGCAGGGACAGGGAAGATGGCTAAAATTGATGGGAAGATGGATGGAGCCAAATACAGGACCATTCTGGAAGAAAACCTGTTGGAGTCTGCAAAAGAGCTGAGACTGGGACGGAGATTTATCTTCCAACAGGACAATGATCCAAAACATAAAGCCAAATCTACAATGGAATGGTTCATAAATACGTATCCAGGTGTTAGAATGGCCAAGTCAAAGTCCAGACCTGAATCCAATCGAGAATCTGTGGAAAGAGCTGAAGACTGCTGTTCACAAACGCTCTCCATCAAACCTCACTGAGCTCGAGCTGTTTTGCAAGGAAGAATGGGCAAAACTGATAGAGACGTACCCCAAGCGACTTGCAGCTGTAATTGCAGCAAAAGGTGGCGCTACAAAGTATTAGGGCAAGGGGGCCGAATAATATTGCACGCCCCACTTTTCAGTTTATTTGTTAAAAAAGTTTAAATTATCCAATAAATTTCGTTCCACTTCACGATTGTGTCCCAATTGTTGTTGATTCTTGACAAAAAATTAAATGTTTATATCTTTATGTTTGAAGCCTGAAATGTGGCAAAATGTTGAAAGGTTCAAGGGGGCCGAATACTTTCGCAAGGCACTGTAAATGTCAGGCCTAGTATGTCATGTTGTACATCAAGATCAGAGAGACCGATCAGAGATAATATGGCATTTTGTACATAATTGTGTGACCCACAGATAAGAGGAATTTGAGACTCCTGCTTGAGTACAAAGTGTATTAATATTACCTATTTTTATTATGTTATAATTATCATTATAATTTTTGATGCTGTCGTCCTGTCACAGCACATACCCGGCCCACTTTGATTCATTGGTCTTATAATTCATCACATGCTCCATCTTCATACTTTTGTAGATCTTTTGCTTTGTTTAAATCATTAATAATTTGATGACTCCCTCTTTTCCATTCCGTCGTCTCGATCACCTCTTGTGTAGCCCAAAGACTGGGTAAGTTAGTTCCATATCGATCATGGTTTTTGCCTTTTCTCTTGCTTCTCTCAGTCTGTCCCCTGCCATGCCTTTTCCACAAACGTTTGGACTAATTCTGAATGTGTGTGCATTTTAATTGCAGCATGGATAGGTAAAATAATAAAGAAAACAAATAAAAAAGAATTGTCCCAAGTGTTCCCCTACAGCTTGTCAAGCTTGCCTCCTGCTTAAACTTAAGAGTGACCACAGAGTGACCAGAGTGACCAGAGTGACCACAGAGTGACCACAGAGTGACCACAGAGTGACCACAGAGTGACCACAGAGTGACCACAGAGTGACCACAGAGTGACCAGAGGGCGACCAGATATATTTTATTCCATTTAAAAGTAGGACTATTCAAAACCTTTTTTCCTGCCTTCCAGTTTGAACAAGGAGGTCTTTATGATTTCAAGATGCAGCCAGACAGGTCATTATAGTCTCCATCAGTTAAAAAATAAACTTTGAACATGAGCAGTGAAAACCTGTGAAACTAAAGCATCTTTGTATTATACATTATCTCTGTTTTAAAGTTTACTCTGGGGTCTCTTTCACATATTTTTCTTCTTGCATTTATAAACTGCATGTTTTTAAACTCAAGTGTTTGCATTTGGGATTTGAAACTAACTATGTATAAAAAAAGAAAAAAAAAGGACAAGTGTTCTAATTTTCTCATTGTGATTCCAATTTTGCTTTTAGGCACGAACTGCTGGAAGACGCGCGTCGACAGGGCTTACCATTTGCTCAGTGGGACGGACCTACGGTTGTGGTTTGGCTTGAGGTGAGAACGGACTGATTTTATCCATCTGTCCATTCATTTCCATCCCCTCTATCCATTTCTGGGTCGGGGGGGGGGCAAACAGAGCTGCCACCCAATTCACAGAGCGCCAGCCCCTCACAAATCCTCCTGCAGGTGGTAAGGTCACAGGGACACTACGACGGGCAGACAACAGTGGGAGTAGGTGGTGTAGGTTTGGCCTAAAGGCCAATACCCTACCAACTCTAGTTTTATTACATTGATTAATTGTGATTAATTATTACTGTATGATCCAGTTTTCAGAGCCATCCATTTGGGACAAACTAGACTTTGGGGTCAACAATTTCTATATATGGCATATCAGCACAGTGGCCGAGTGGTTAGCATTCTCTCTTCTCAGCAAGAAAGTCCTGGGCCTTTTTGAGTGGAGTTTGCATGTTTTCGCCATGTCTGACATCTGAATCAGAATCATTTTTATTGCCATGTAAGTAACAGGTAGTCATAGACTAGGAAATTACTTTGGCTCTCTGTGCAAACAAGTCAAAAGTAGAGAAAGAATAAGGCATAATAAAACATTTCTAAAGTATAACATTATCTAAAATAGAAAAAAATTAAAATTATCACGATTATCCTGTAGGGGCGACAGTAGCTCAGTTGGTAGAGCATTGGCCTTCAGGCCTGAAGGTCGTGGGTTCATTTCCCACCTCTACACCTTCTCCACCGACTCCCACTGATGATTGCTGTCGTTGTGTCCTTGGGCAAGACACTTAACCCCACTTTGCCTGAAGCCCCCACTGAAAGATCAAGGCTATGCTCACACTCAGAGAGCAGCTGTCCTCCTGTGGACTCACCACCTGCAGAGGGTCAGTGAGGGGCTGGTGCTATGAGACTTGGGTGGCATCTCTGACTGCCACCCCCCTGACCCAGAAATGGATTAAAGGGTAGAAAATGGATGGATGGACGATTATCCTGTCATGCAAGTGCACTCGTTACACACAATACACAATGTACATTTAGCAGTGCAGTAAAATTATGGCAGTAAGTGGCTTTATAAGGGGCAGTAAAGTGACTTTATAAAGGGCAGTAAAGTGGCTTTATAAAGGGCGAGGGGGACAAAATTATGAAATGTTCAAGAGTCCAACAGCAGAGGGGAAGAAACTTTTCTGATAGTGGGTGGTTCTGGTCCGAATGGACCAGCCCGGCCTCAAGCTCTGGCATTGTAGAGGTCCTGCAGCGATGGGAGGCTGCGGCCGATCACCTTCTCTGCAGAGCGCACAATGCGCTGTAGTCTCTGCTTGTTCCTGACTGTGGCTCCAGGGAACCACACGGTGATGGAGGAGGTGAGGACGGACTCGATGATGGCCGTGTAGCGCCAACATCTGTGCAGGCAGCTTGGCTTTCCTGAGCTGCCGCAGAAAGTATATCTTCTGCTGGGCCTTCTTGATGAGGGAGCTGATGGTCTGCTCCCACTTGAGGTCCTGGAGGATGGTGGTGCCCAGGAAACGAAAGGACTCCACAGAGGTGATGGGGGAGTCCATCAGGGAGGGCGGGGGCGGGGGGACTGTGCTCTTCCTGAGGTCCACAATCATCTCCACTGTCTTCTGGGCGTTAAGCTCCAGGTTCTTACCCCTGCATCAGGACACCAGCTGGTCCACCTCACTCCTGTTGTCGGAGATGAGTCCAAGGTTGAGGTTGGTGTCATCCACGAACTTGATGAGCTTCACGGAGTCGTGGCTGGAGGTGCAGTGGTTGGTGTACAGGGACAAGAGCAGAAGAGAAAGAACACAGCCCTGTGGGGCTCCTGTATTTATAATCCGAGAGTCCGAGACATTCTTCCCCAGACGCACACGCTGCTTCCTGTCCGTCAGGAAGTCAGTGAACCACCTGCTGCTGGAATTGGGCACGTTTGTCCAGCTTGTCCTGGAGCAAGGATGGCAGGATGGTGTCAAAGGCAGAGCTGAGGTCCACAAACAAGATCCTGGCGTAGGATCCCGGGGAGTCCAGGTGCTGTAGGATGTGAAAGAGAGTCAGGTTTATGGCGTCATTTAAAGATCTGTTGGCTTGGAGACTTTTTTTTCTCTATCTTGTCTCTTTCGAGTCTCTCTTTACTCCCTCTTTCTGGTGTAAATCTCCTTCTCTCTCTGCAGCTGTGGGTGGGAATGCCTGCTTGGTACGTTGCCGCCTGCAGAGCTAATGTGAAAAGCGGAGCAATCATGTCTGCGCTGTCAGACACAGAAATCCAGCGAGAGATCGGCATCAGTAACCCCCTCCACCGTCTGAAGCTGAGGCTCGCCATCCAGGAGATCATGTCGCTCACCAGCCCGTCGGCCCCCCCCACCTCCAGAACGGTAAACATGCAGAGACCACACATTCACACAGCAGGATTCTAGAGTTTTAAAATGTGTTCTGACAATTACAGTCACTTCATGAGGAGGTAGGTCTCTTACTTCTTCATGGTTCAATCAGCTGCACAAATGAACTTTAGCGAGTCCTTAAAGGGGCATAACCTTTTTTCTCTGTTCAAATATAAAGATGGAAACCCCTCTTCTGACCCTGATCATAAGTCTCCATTTCCCAGTTCTGAATAGTATGTGTTACCCTCATACTGTGTTATCAATTACGGCTTGGAGTCTTTTGTGGTAGTTCTGGATGGGGTTCCTTTCTCTGCATCTGGCTCTGGTATCTCGCTCTATTTCTCTGCTTTCTCTCCCTTGTCTTTCTCTCTGGTCTCCATCTCTCTCTGGTATCTCGCTCTATTTCTCCGCTCTCTCTCCCCCTTGTCTTTCTCTCTGGTCTGTATCTCTCTCTATCTCTCTTGTCTTAATCTCTCTGCTTGTTCTCTGGTTACTGGTTTCTCTGGTCTCTCTGGTTTCTCTCTGGTCTCTATCTCTCTCTGTTCTCCATCTCTCTCCACTCTCGTCACCAGTTTCTCTAGTCTCTCTCTGGTTTCTCTCTTGTCTCTCTTGACCACTGGCGCCTAGCAATGTTTCTTCTACAACATTGTTTTAGCATTGTTTAAACATTTCATATGAACCAAATATTTAATTATTTAAGAGAACAGATAAGGTTATGTTCCTTTAGAAATTCTCAAATTCTTGTTTGTCACTTGTGATTTTTAATCTCTCAAACATGGAATAAAAAAAAATCACTGTGTATAGCACATATGGTGAAGTTTGGCTCCAATTCGCTCTTGCTGCTATTGACTTACCTGGAAAAGTAAACTCCTCTCGTTCAGTTTGTGTCACCATTTTTGGCTTACATCCAGATATGACCCAAATAAGAATTGACCGATCAGATGCCTGTATTTGCGGTGGATACCTATGGAGTATATTTGGAGTGGACTGACCAATTGTGACCTCACCATATTGTTAAGGGGCTTTCACACCGGACACAATTTCAACTTCAAAAGCGTCAGGTTTGCATTGAAAATGAATGGTGACGCGAGTCAGGTGGAGCCGAGAGGCCCGGCGTCACCTGGTGCGTGTCAAAAGCTTCAAAAGACACAAGCGTTACGCGTGCCATATGACGCGCGTAACGCTCGCGTCTCGTTTGGCGTCAACAAAGTTGAGAAAAACTGAGCTTTTCGAGCTTCACGCCGGGCGTCAACTAATCAGCAGACAAGTAGCAGCAGCAGGGCTGTCATGGAAAGGAGCCTGGCTCAGACACAGCAGACTGATAGACTGAAGCTTGTGGATAGATTGAAGCTTGTGGTGTGAACACAGCTTTCGCCTTGATGCTGCAGAAGCCGATTTTAACATAAGTTAGCTGGAGGCAGTTTTCTTTTATGGGCATTTGTTCCTACAACGTTAGCCTCTAGATGTGTTGTTAAGAAAAGTTGGAGTTAGGGACTATAGTGATCACACTCGGTCAGTCCACTCCCGATAGACAGTCTGTAGTTTGACATTTTTACCTGTGTTTCAATGTTTGTTAGCTCTGTAGCTCATACTTGCTTTTCCTGTAGCCCTCTTGAAATCCTGCGGAATGAAAAGTGTGCTATAAATGAATTGTGCAATTGTTATTAACTGAAACCACATGTTTGCACTACGAAGATACTGAAACTACTAAAACTTCCAGAACAGTCATTTTGACTTCCCATTCACATCAATGGAATTATGACAAAATCCCCCCAAAAAGGAAAAAGTTTTCCACCTTGCATTATAAATAATGTATGAGTTTTGTGAATGTAACTGAAATACAGAAAAACAGTTTTGTGACAGGCTAATGCTAATTGGTGACAGTAAATGGTATGTTGCTATGGTAACTAGCACTCACTCTTCAATCCATCTGTCACACAATCACACAGGGCTTTAAAAAAAACAATATTAAGATATGGAATCTTAAAAACATAAAAATGAAAATAACACAGGTAATTCCATCCATCCATTTTCTACCCTTTAATCCATTTCTGGGTCAGGGGGGTGGCAGTCAGAGATGCCACCCAAGTCTCATAGCACCAGCCCCTCACTGACCCTCTGCAGGTGGTGAGTCCACAGGAAGAAGGCTGCTCTCTGAGAGTGAGCATAGCCTTGATCTTTCAGTGGGGGCTTTGGGCAAAGTGGGGTTAAGTGTCTTGCCCAAGGACACAACGACAGCAGTCATCAGTGGGAGTCGGTGGAGAGGGGATTAAAATCATAAATTACCACAGTGCAATAAAAAGAATATAGATAAAATCCTTTAGTTGTATGCACAGGCCAAAAGAACTGTCCTCAACTTCCATAGTAGACACTGGTCTCATATTTTTAGGAAGACTGTTCCAGATTTTAGCTGCCTAAATTTGAAACGCTGCCTCCCGATGTTTAGTCCTGACCCTGGGCACAAGCAGGAGGCTCGTTCCTGTGCTGCTCAGAGACTGGGCCGGTTCATATGGCACCAACATGTCACAAATTTTCCTCGGTGAGAGGCCACGCACAAGCGGAGCTGCTAGTCTATTCTCCAAGCCACAGGAAGCCAAAGAGACCTGAGAACTGGGCTAATGTGATTGTGTTTCCTGGTTCTAGTCCGGAATGCCCTGGACCAGACTTGAACCTCTCCAGGTCCAGGACCACTCATCTTAAAAAGGGGCTTTAACTGCAATAGAATGTTGGTTGCTAAAAAACGTAATTTGAAAAAAAAATGTTAGATTGACTGCTCTGGAGTTCTAGTATTAAGCCTGATTTTCCAGCATGTTAAACTAATCCAATACAAGCACAAACTCTCCTCCTAACTCTGATGAGCATTATCTCTCACAATGGATTGTTCTCCTAATCTTCACTAACGAGAATAACACTAAACGCCTTCTGCTCTTTTCGTTCCTCTTCCTTGTGTTTCCTCCCCACTTCCTGTCCGCACCCCTTTCCCGCACTCTGATTGGCTCTGGCATGTTTTGGGGCGATCAGAGCACGGGCAACATTTGGGTCACACACGAAGAGATGGAAACTCTGGCGGCAACTCCCCCCACGGTTAGTCTGCGCCGCCGCGCTCTGGTCTGCTGTAGAGAAGTGTGTGTACATGTGATATCACAATGCTCCCAAGAGCCTATAGTTTCACATCGTGGTGTAGGGAAGCTGAAAGATATGTTTTAGTAACCATGTTTTTTTAATTACACTTTAGTTACTGGCAAGTAGAGTAGAGTAGGGCTTTTGTTAAGTCAATTTCTCTGTAATCCCTGGGCCAATCCACATGAAAACTGCCACTAAGTTCCACAAATACTACTTGAATCATGCTTTATTCATCTTTTTTGTTGGTCATTTATTGAAATGATACTATATACTGAGACAATATACTTTGCATGACATGTAAAACATGCTTTCCGCCTGTAACGCATGAGGAAGGGCCCACCAGAGGGAGCAGCGTCTGCAGTCAGAGCTCTCTGTAACTCCCTCTGCTGCCACTAGAAGGAGGAGTAGAATGTGTATGATGCAAGGCGGCCTAGGAAATTACTGGAACTGGAGGCTTTTAATAAAAAGACTAAATGTAGTAAACAAATCCTTCATTTATTTAAGAAGAATTTAATTATTATGGCTTTACTTATTGCAGCACTGAAATAAATGTCTAGTTTTTGTAGTTTTCTTTAACTTCAAACTATACTTTCTAGTCTCACCAATGAATCTGAATAAATTCTTTGGTTTTAATTTGGTCTTGTATAAAGAGTTTTCTTTGCATGTCTCTGATCCGTGTTGTGATGTGTCTTTTTCTAATATGGCTCTTTGGCCTCACTAACCCTGTGTGTTTTCTTCTCACTGTTTTAACCACGCTAACCACAAGGACGATGAGGATGGGAGCTGGGCGCAGGTTTGAACTCCATCTCCTCCCTGACCTCTATTTTCATCAGGGCTGCTCATATGGAAGGCTGTCCTCTCATTGGCTGAAAAATATTGCAAAAACAACCCTTTTAAGTCAGTATGTTTGAGAAATAATTTTAGAAATAAGCTGGTTCTGTTCTTGCTTAATTAAGATCTTGAGACTTACTTTAAAACTGGAGAACCTAACTTTGAAACCACAAAAACAGTGGGAATTGCTTTAATTGCTTGCTTGCTTTAATTCCTCCAAGTATGCTTCTGTTATAATGTGTCATCATCTCTCCCTCTCTCTCGGGTCTCTCTCTGGTCTCTCTCTGGTCTCTCTCTGGTTTCTCTCTGGTCTCTCTCTGGCTTAAAAACTCAAAATCCACATCCCTGACATATTCTTGAGTGGCTTCTTAGTTTCATCCAAAAACACAATTTGATCACACCAGTTGTATATTGCAGCCCTGATTTAAATGCTGTATCCAACCCAATTACTCTGAATAAACTATCTACTCTATGCTTCTACCCTCAGAGTAGCTTCACTAGTATGTAGAAATCCAACAGCTTTACTGACCAGTCAACTGTTACTTCATCCTGTGTTTCTCTCCCTCAGACCTTGGCTTACGGAGACATGAACCACGAGTGGATTGGAAACGAGTGGTTGCCAAGTCTGGGTCTGCCGCAGTATCGCTCTTACTTTATGGAATCCCTGGTGGATGCCCGGATGCTCGACCATTTAACCAAAAAAGACCTCAGGGGACAGCTCAAGATGGTGGACAGCTTCCACAGGTACAATAATCCAGAGAGAAAGAGGCTAGAGAGATACAGTATCCCCACTGAACAATGTATTTTAATCTTCTCTTTGCAGGAATAGCTTTCAGTGCGGAGTGATGTCTCTGCGGCGGCTGAACTACGACCGGAAAGAGCTGGAGCGCCGGCGGGAGGAGTGTCAGTTTGATCTCAAAGGTTGGCCTCATGTTTTCCGTAATTTTCCACTTGTTTTGTCTACACCGCCTCTTCAACTGTGTCATTGTTTGTCCTCAGACGTCCTGGTGTGGAGCAACGAGCGCGTCATCACCTGGGTGCAGGCCATCGGGTTGAAGGAGTACAGCGGAAATCTTTACGAAAGCGGAGTCCACGGGGCTCTCATGGCTCTGGACGAAACGTTTGATCACAACGCACTGGCCTTACTGCTGCAGATTCCCACACAGAACACACAGGTCTGAGACCAGGACTAATGTGTGAGCTTCAGCTTAGAGACCAGGACTAATGTGAGAGGACTGGATTGGAGAATAAATTAGTTGTGGTTTGAATAGATCATACATTTTACTTGAATCAACTTGATATGCAGTTTTCACACTTGTTTCACAATATATTTTCTACTTGATTCCTCTCTGGTTTTTCTCTGTTCTCATTCTGGTCTCTCTCTCTCCTGTCTCTCTGGTCTCACCCTGGTCTCTCACTGGTCTCTCTCTCTATGGACCCTGTTTTAGTCAGTGGCTGCACCAGACAGATGTAGATCTTCATTTGTTACTGTACCGTTTAGGCAAGAGCAACTCTGGAGCGTGAGTTCAACAGTCTTCTTACCATTGGCACAGAACGTCAAATGGAAGAGGTACCAACAACACATCACAGCTGCTTTCAAAACCATGCCCCACAAAATTCACTGTAAATTTATACTTATATCATCTATCTCAGGACGACGATAAGAACTTCCGCCGCGCACCGTCATGGAGAAAAAAGTTCCGGCCCAAAGACGTGAGGGGACTGGGCGCCTCGGACACGTTACCGGCTAACTTCAGAGTGACCGGCGCTGGCTCCCCCTCGCCACAGCCAAAGAGAAGCCCCCTGGATGGTGAGAGCAGGAGCCCAACCAAAGCAGAACTCTGTCACTCACACAGGAGCACAAAAATAACATCTGTGCATGAAAACTATGAAAGTAAAAGCATGGAAAGTTTATTTGCGTCGCACAGATCATATCCACCACTGAACAAAACAGGAAAAGAAAATAGAGAGTGAAGAAATGCAGGCTTCAAACTCTATTTTGATGTATACAGGACCCTTTAACTCTCTAGTATCTCTCTGGTCTCTCTCTAGTCTTTCTGGTCTTTTTCTCTGGTCTGTTTGGTCTCTATCCCCGGTCTAACTCTTTTTGGTCACTCTCTCTGGACTCTCGCTGGTGTCTGTCTCAAAAAGCTGATCTAAATATATGACAAGAGGTGTAAATACAGTGTCTCTTCTACTCAAGTTAGATAAAAACAAACAAAACATACAGATAACACATACAGAACGCAATACGTGTGCTTATTGTGACGTCAAACCAGTTCAGAGTTTTGCTTTCCTTCCTCTGTCTGTAAATTGCATGTGTGTTTTCTCTTTCTTCTCGTTGCTGTTAATACGGTTGTGTTTCTGAATGTTTTCTGTTCTTGTTGTGGATGAGCTTCTGTGACTAACGGCATGTCTCTGCATGTGACTCGCACACAGGGAGTCAGTCAATTCAGAGGCTGGACACGGCCACAGTCAGGACCTACTCATGCTAACACAACGGTGAGTCTTTATACTAGCAACCGATCCACAACAAACCAGTATCAGAGTAAACACCCTGGTAACATGGCTTCCAATCTGTCAGAACACATTAGTACCATATCCTTCTGGATTGAACCAGGACCAAGAAGGACAAAATAACCTGGTACTGCTGGTAGAGTAAGGTTAGGCTAAAGTGAGAGATTTCAATGATTGGGTGAGGTCAATTCTTGTCAAGTAAATGTCTATTTTCACATTATAACTTCAACTAGAGCCTCTCTGAGATTCTTCTACCTCTCCAGGATTGAGGCTGTAGTTTCAGGACAATGTAGAGAATGGAGTAGAAAGTACAGATATTTGGGTTTAGAGGTAGAAGTTATGATCTGTGGTCATACAAATAACATAACATTTGAATAAACCGTTAGCATTGTTTGAATGGATAGAGATATATTTCCTGTTTGATTCCCATATCTTGAGTCTTGTTACAGCAGCTTCACTCCTGCTTAAATAACGCATGTCCACGCCTCTCTCTCCTGTCTATCTCCACTCTTTCCTGTCTGTCTCCTCTTTCTCCTATCTGTTTCCTCTCTTTCAACACTCCTGTCGGTCTCCTCTCTCCTGACTATCTCATCTCTCATCTGTCCCCTCTCTCTCTGCTCTCTCCTCTCTCCTGTCTTTCCACCTCGCCCCTTTCCTTCCCCTCTCAGAATATCCTCATTATTTCTATAGGTAACCGCTGGTCAGAAGATGAAGGAGACTTCCCTGCATTTAAAACCAGGATGTTGAACTGAGTTTTGGATTTTTTCAATCAGAAAGAGACTGTTGTTCTACTCACCTCACGCTCCCATGCGGTAGGAGCCTGTAGTGTTGGTTTTAATATTTATGTGAACCATGGGACGTTTAACAGACTTAGACTTTCTACGTATGTATAATCTCTTTTTTTGTTTACCTTGTTTTCTTAATCACAAAGAAAGTCCCCTCTGTGCCCTAAATCTTAATATAAATTTATATATATATATAAGTGAATGTTTTAACCAGCTTTGTACATTTCTACCAGAACTTTTGTCTATTAATCTTTTTTATAATCCTATGGAAAAAGATGTTTATTTTCTCTATTACAGAAACTCGAATCGATGAATTTTAAAAGTGACTTCTTGTATTTTCCCTTGTTGTTTGTACATTTTTATAATTTCTCCAAAAACTATGGACATTTTTTAGGTCAAAATAATGAAATAGTATCAGGCCACATTATCACTGTGAGACGTAGCTGATTTGTCCATGTGTTTATATTGAACTGAATATTTTTAAAACCGTGTTAAAGTCTCAAATTGTGAAGGAGAGTCGTTTTTGAACCACTAGTTTGACCCACCCCCACAGCTGCCTGATTGGACATAACAAATTAAAAAACATATTCTATTGTTATTTGATGTATTTGTGTATTGTCTTAAGTGATTTAGAGTGGTACACAAATACACTGTTGTGATAACAGTAGTCATCGCAGAGAACTTCCCCAGGACTGAGGCTGTATATCCAGGACTCAGGCTGTGGATCTCAGAGTCTGGGACGGGGAAGACCAGTCCACAGGTGCAAATAAAGCATGCACAATTAGAGCCATTTCCCATCATTAGATATCACCAGTGGACAAAGGGACTTCCTATAGTGTGATTTCATTTAACAATCCGAAAGTAACATTTAAATACAAAGAAATTGTCAGAATCAAAGTCACCAGTGTTACACTGGTTGTGGCCTTGTCCTCTCTTTCATGTGTTTATAACCAGGTTTAAATCTGTGTAGTGATTTCATTTGTAAACATATGGACTGATCCAGTTCAAATCACCCATATCTCCTGAAACCAAATGCTCTCTTTGCTAAGCCATATCTAAATGCACGCGGACGTGTAACTGTCATTCCCAGAGTATTTCTTTCTCTCTTGCTGCATGTACAGCCTTCAAAAACAACACAGACAGTTTTACTGTCGCCTGTGAGGAGAAACACATGTGCAAGAGAAAAGCGAAAGAAGGGACTGTCACTGACGCACCTATGTACAACGGACCAACTTCACTGAGGCCTGAGATCGACCTCCGCTTCGGCTGCAGAACTCATCAACGAAGCGGAACAGATCCTACTTTGAACATGTTTTTGAATCACTTTGATGCAACACTGTGGGAAAGTCTGGGGCAGGTTTTCAAGAAGGAACAACTGATTTAAGTTTGAGTATTATGCAAACCGTTACCAAAATAGGTGTTTACTTTTGCATGTAAATCAATAGGAGTCAGAGCGAGTTGGAGCCAAACTTCACCATGAGCACTTCCCTATTTGGCTTTATTGAGCTAGCGGTATATTGTGTATACAGGCTATGGACAGCTCTGGTGATGTCACAATCTCTCCCAGAGCCCAACAACTTTTAATGTAAGATGTATCATGAGTAAAAGTTCTAAATAATGATGTCTTTAAAACCTACCTGGGACTTTCATGCAGTGCAGCACTGCAAAGCCTTATCGTTTTATCAGCTCCTGTTTGATCTTCTATTTATTCACTGATCACTGTTTTTTTAATCTCATAAATGTCTTGGTTTCAACCTCTTTACTTGTGTTTGTCTTGTTTATGCTTAAACACAGGTTCCAGTTGTCATATATAATATATAAATGTGTGTGTATATATATATATATATATATATATATATATATACACACATACATATCTGTGTGTGTATATGTATGTATGTGTATAATTATGTATATATATATTTATTATATATATATTACACATACAAACAAACACTCAATGATCTGGAACCAGAGGACTTATGCTTTTGTAGATTTTCAAAGTGGTTTTAATGTTTTAATCTTGTTGTTTCTGCACATGTTGAAATCCTGTTGCTGGTATTACCTCTCCCTGTTCAGCTGTGATCTGTAACCTCCGAGTCTGAGAACTTATCAACTATTTTCACAGTATTATTTATTGCTTCTTTCAATAAAATACTGAACTTGAGTTTGATTTGTGCTAGTGTGTAAAGCCATGGTTTTGTTTATACATAGTTCCCACAGACCAATGAATGTCACATGACCTCCTCGGAGACGCCATCTTTGATGGCACGCTGCTGTGTTTGTGCATTCCATTAAACAGAAGAATGAGAATAAATGTAGATATTCAAACGCAAATTGGAAAAAAAGGGCAACTTTTGAGCAAATAATTGTATATTAATACAATGGCACCACAGTTTAACGTGCTACGGACATGTTTTACATATTTGATCAAATTATGCAGCAAAAATTAACAAGCAATGCAAACATTTCTCAAAAACTTTAGATTTAATACCAGTTGGAGCTCCATTTAATTATTTTAATTATATTAACAATTAATTTAATTAATGCTAATGCCACACGGACACTCTGGATTGCTGTTATTGTTTATTTCCGCGTTTTTGACCGTATGTTTTGGTGAATGGTGGGCAACTGATTTTTCCAGGCGTAAAGAGCAGTTTATTTTATGACACAGATCTTTTTATAGAAGCAATGCTGTTTGTGAACATTGTTTTAGCCCACCATAGAACTATTATTATCTATTTAATACATTTACGTTGCCCTCGAGAGCCTCGGACGCGACACCGATCCTCCTCATAAAAAAGTAATCTAACGCTAAATAATGAAACTCTCAAGTTACCAGCTATCAGCATACACAAGTTAGTACTGAGTAAATTACGTCTGTCAACACATTATAAGATACGATACGCACCTGACACAAAGTGCTCCGAGCATATTCTTGCGTGTTTTGAGGGAGTTTCTTGCCTGTTTATCTTCGCAAGCCATAACCTCCGTGGTTGTTCTGACAAAAGCTTAGTCTTCTCACATTCATGAAGTCTAATGATGGGTATACTGTAAAATCCAAGTTTAACGGAACCTCCGGCACGATTAGAACATCCATTGACCCAGCAGGAGATGACCATTTTCAACTTTATCACACGTTTCAGCTTCTTTTTCTATTTTTTGGCCCACAGAATGCCAAGACAAATGGCGCCGGGTCGGCAAATCCCCGTATGTAGTGACGTCATGTGGGAACTATGTATTCACATATGTAGGGATTAAAGCTGGGGTATGTGACTTTCGAACCACAAACATTGGAACAATTTAATTTAAAGGCAGGATGTTTTTTAGCGAGACGAAGACGGCATGCAGTGATATGTTCACAACATTTTACCTTTTAATTAAATTAAATTAAATCAGTCAATCAAATATTAACAGCAGTCGTCTCTGAGAACTTTGCAAAGCTATGGATTCACCAACAACAAATCAGATAATCAAACTGTTTGAACGTAGTAAATGCAATAACAAACAACGAAGCCATTAGTGACCAACAGCAGGTCCAGAGGAAGAGGGATGACCACTGTCCACAAATGTGCATATGTGTCCCGGATCATTACTGTCCTTAGTCCTAATGTATAATTACATTAAAAGCATCGCTACCCCAGCTTTAATGGTTTTTTATTAAGTTAATTTCATCATCACTTGAATTTAAGTGTTCATTATTTAAAAACAAATGTGAACCCTTCACCACATCCCGGAAGCGGAGCGCAGGGAGTGAAGCCAGGACCATCACCATCCTCTACCACTACACCAGCTTTATCTGACATTAAACAGCATTATCTGCTAAACTACCCAATCTCACGCACTCAACGCACTCGGACCAGGCCTTTTCTCGGTACGCGGTATGTATTTCCACATCTAAAAACATTATAATGGCTCCCAAACCCTCATTCTGTCATAGAATTGGAGTCTGTCCCGTAATGTTAGCTTTAGCCGCGGCACTGTTAGCCTGTAGGAAAACTGGAACAGGAAATGCCAACGCCAGGTAGGTCGCCACGACTGCTCCCAAACTACTGCTGATATACAAATATATGTGATTTAATGTGCTGTTTTAGACACTGACCCTGATTCTGCAGAGTATTGGACATTAGCAAGACGTGGTTTTAGGTGTGACATGCGGACGAAGCAAAGACGTACGGATTTAATGTTTCATCTTCAGACATGTTTTATTCCACACTGTTGCACAAATCTATATTCAATTACACAAAGCAAACTGTAAACAACATTTCAACATTATATGATTGACTTCATCTGCGTTTAACTAAACATGAAGGGCTGTGTTGTGGTCCATTAAATAAGAAGCGATGGGTTTCCTCACAAAGCAAAAACATTGCTTAATATTTTTGCACACATATGCTGGTTATGATGGGATTCTATTGATATAAAGCATTTATTAATGTAATTAAAACGTCTATGCTGTTGTTCACAATGTACTTTTTTATGAAAGATTAACTATGGCAAAAAACACTGCTTCTCATTACGTTTATTTATAGTCCGCAATTGAATGAATCAAAGCGGTATAAATGAGTTTGAGTTGAGTTGGGGGAAACATGTCTTGATCTACAGCTGCTGCTACTAATACTACTACTAATTCTGCTATTACTTCTGCCACCACCACTAATGCTGCTGCTACTACCACTGCTGCTATTACTACTACTACTCCTACTACAGCGATATGTGTTAAACATTGAATATTACATTATTATTATTATCGAAACATGAAGTGCCCTGGTTTGTGAGAGAGGGTGTGGTGCTTTGTCTGGAAATCTGTTCTGTGACTCTGGACATTGCTTCCTGGTTCCTGGACTGAAGTTGTCCTTGTTGAGGTGGAAAACTTAAAGCACACATTACACACTGCACATCTATTCCCATCAGTGGGAATAGTAAAAAAAAAAGCTGAGTCAGCAGTGTGTGCTTTGAAGACATGCCACACAGCAGCAGCAGCAGTATTCTATCTCTCATGGCTTACAATGTTGGAACCAAATGTATATTATATTATATGCAAGTATATTGTATAGTAGATGCTGCACCTAATTTTTCTAATAATTTAACTATAAAGTTCATGTCTCTAGTTCTTGCTCTCTGAGAGAGCGTGACCAGAGAGAGCGAGACCAGACCACTAGTTTTCAAATGTATTTTTGTCCTCTTTCACAGCTTTAGATTAGTTGTTTAGGTCTGATTTGCTCCTGTTTTGATTGTTTTCCAGTGAGTTCAGTGTGAGAACATGTGGCGAGCTGCAGTCGGACAGAATGTCAACACCAACGTGGACGATGGTGGAGACGACTGGGAGACCGACCCAGACTTTGAGGTTTGAGCTTTTTCTTAGTCTTATCTTAGAATGCTCTCACCTTTGTGAGAGCAGAGGTCTTTCCTCAAGTGTCTCTGCCTGTTTTTATGTGAGGGAATGATGCAGCGTGTGCAGTAAGAGCTCTGAATCTCGTCCTCGCCTCTGATCCTGAGCTTTGGGTAGTGACCGAAAGGACGAGAACGTGAATACAAGAGGTCCACGTGAGTTTCCTCTGCAGAGTAGAGCTCCCTTAGAGATAGGGTGAGGAGCTCGGAGTGGAGCCGCTGCTCTTCCATGTGGAGAAAAGCCATTTGAGGTGGCTTATGCATCTGTTCGGGATGCCTTCTGGGGAGGTTTTCTGGACATGTCCCACCGGAAAACCCAGGAGACGTTGCAGGGACTGTGTCTCTTAGCTGGCCTGGCCACGCCTCAGGATTCCCCCAGATGAGCTGTGTTGAGAGGAGAGTCTCTGCTCATACTGCTGTCCCTGTTACCTGGCAACGGATAAAGTTAAAGAAAATGGATGGATCATCTTTCTAGTATGTTTTTTGTTGTTGAATGTTTTATTATATATTTGCTTTAAAGTGTGTGTGTGCGTTTTTTTTTTTTTTCTTTTAGAACGATGTGTCGGAGAAGGAACAGCGCTGGGGAGCAAAGACAGTGGCAGGATCCGGACACCAGGAGCATATCGAGTCAGTTCTAGGTTTTTTTCAGAATCTATAAAATTACATGGATTATATAATCACTGAGTTGTATAATCAGAATTTTCCTGATCTCTCTCTGGTCTCTCTCTGGTCACTCTCTGGTCACTCTCTGGTCACTCTCTGGTCACTCTCTGGTCTCTCTCTGGTCTCTCTCTGGTCTTTCTCTGGTCTCTTTCTGGTCTTTCTCTGGTCTCTTTCTGGTCTTTCTCTGGTCTCTTTCTGGTCTCTTTCTGGTCTCTTTCTGGTCTCTTTCTGGTCTTTCTCTGGTCTCTTTCTGGTCTCTTTCTGGTCTTTCTCTGGTCTTTCTCTGGTCTCTTTCTGGTCTTTCTCTGGTCTCTTTCTGGTCTCTTTCTGGTCTCTTTCTGGTCTCTTTCTGGTCTTTCTCTGGTCTCTTTCTGGTCTTTCTCTGGTCTCTTTCTGGTCTTTCTCTGGTCTCTTTCTGGTCTTTCTCTGGTCTCTTTCTGGTCTTTCTCTGGTCTCTTTCTGGTCTTTCTCTGGTCTCTGAGTTTCTTGGTCTCTCTGTTGCAGTATCCACAGACTGCGTGAGACTGTTTCCACAGAACACACCAAACTGAAGGAGCAGGAGCTGGACCTGATGCCCAAAGCCTCTCATGGGTATGGGGGCCGCTTCGGAGTGCAACAGGACCGCATGGACAAGGTGTGTGTGTTTGAATGGATGTGTATGTGTGTGGGTGTATAAACACTTTATTTAGACAGCAAGGCTAAATAAGTAAGGCTAATCTTACGATTTCCCACTGAGAGGAGAGAGTTATGAAATGTGACTGTTGTAATCTCAGCAGTGATCAGTTTCTGTCTCTCTTATATAATATGTGTGTGTTTTATGGTCATGTGTGTATGTGTTTTTCTAGTCTGCTGTGGGTCACGAGTACCAGAGTAAACTGTCCAAACACTGCTCTCAGACCGACACGTCCAAAGGTTTCGGAGGGAAGTACGGCGTACAGAACGATCGGGTTGACCAGGTACCACCACCACACATCTGCACACATTCTGACCATAGTAAAGCATTGGTGTGCTTCCACTGATACTGTAAGTGTAATAGGTTAGTATTGGTCGTAGATTTAAATATGAAAAGAAAAAACTTTTAGAAACGAGGGCTAAAATGGATCAAGAGAAAATAATTAACCTGCCTTTGGTTTGAGCAAGTTCAGAAATAGAGGAGAGAGCGGAGGAGGAGGGGTGGGCCTGCGAGAGAGAGTGAGAGGGGCCAGAGAGAGGGAGAGGGGCCAGAGAGAGGGAGAGGCCGGAGCAGTAATTATTCACGTTTCTTCCCCATATCTTCAAAAGGCTTAGTGTCTCTTTTCGTTGCAGTCAGCGGTGGGATTCGAATACGCTGGAAGAACAGAGAAACATGCTTCACAGAAAGGTACTGTCCGGACACGTCACACTCGTCTTCTCTCACTCACACTTGGGAAACACACACTACTGAGAATAGTGTCAGAAGAAGGGTTTTTACCTGATTACCACATACAACCACAAACAATAAGTGAAACAATATTTGTTGTGTCTTCATTCATAATCTCTGAAATCATCTAAATTTCTACTTGTGTCAATGCCAAATATAAAGTGGTAGACACTATTTTTAACAATTGTTCAATTCTATGTATTTGTGTATTGCCCTAAACCACAACAGCCATTGTCTCCGAGGACTTTACAAAGTTGTGAACTCGCCAACAACAGATCAGAGAATCAAATAGTTTGAACACAGGATATGCAATTATAATAAACACATTGGCGCCATTGGTCAATAGGGAGTGGGATGACCACTGCCTTTGACCCTCCTGCATCGGCAAAGAGCTACTCGGAAACCCAGTGGGAAAGGAAATTAGAAACCTGTAGAAGGCTGTAGACCTGCTTTATTATTTGTTATTTTCCTGAATTACTGTGTGTTTGTGTGTTTCTAGATTACGCAGCTGGTTTCGGAGGCCGTTACGGTGTACAGAAAGACCGAGTGGATCAGAGCGCCATGGGATTTGACTATCAGGGGAAAACTGAGAAACACGACTCCCAAAAAGGTTTGTCTCAGATCTTCAAAAACTAATCTGACTCAATCAGTGACTGGCCGGGTTAGCCCTGTGATGGGAGACTGTCGAAAAGAGACCATAGTAACAAAATGTCAGTGAGTCAACACCCTATTAGGTGGAGGGTGTTGCTGCTTAAAGATTCCATGTTCCGCTCTTCTTCCTTTCTCACAGTCCATTCAAAGCACATGTGTGATAATAATTTGGGTGACACATATACAACACTGAAAACTTGTCATACTGTAGCCATTACTTGCATCGAGGGGATGTCTCCTCGGCTGGATTTGTACTTCTCTGCATGTGAACTAGGGCTGCAACTAACGATTATTTTAATAATCGATTAATAATTAATAATTGATGAATCGATTAATTGGATAAAAAAAAATATATATATATATATATATATATATATATATATATATATATAATATATTTTCCATCCCTTTGTTCACAAACATGGCCATGGACCTAAACAAAAAAAACATGCAAATGTAAGCTATGCAAATATTGGCTTTTTGAAAAGTAAAGTGCACAAAAATAGGTATTTTTTAGGGATGCACCGATATATACAGTGGGGCAAAAAAGTATTTAGTCAGCCACCAATTGTGCAAGTTCTCCCACTTAAAATAATGACAGAGGTCTGTAATTTTCATCATAGGTACACTTCAACTGTGAGAGACAGAATGTGAAAACAAAATCCAGGAATTCACATTGCAGGATTTTTAAAGAATGTATTTGTAAATTTTGGTGGAAACTAAGTATTTGGTCAATAACAGAAATTCAGCTCAATGGAAGGAGGTTTGGGCTCAAAATCTCACAATACATGGCCCCATTCATTCTTTCCTTAGCACGGATCAGTCGTCCTGTCCCCTTAGCAGAAAAACAGCCCCAAAGCATGACGTTTCCACCCCCATGCTTCACAGTAGGTATGGTGTTCTTGGGATGCAACTCAGTATTCTTCTTCCTCCAAACACAACGAGTTGAGTTTATACCAAACAGTTCTACTTTGGTTTCATCTGACCACATGACATTCCCCCAATCCTCTGCTGTATCATCCATGTGCTCTCTGGCAAACTTCAGACGTCCCTGGACATGCACTGGCTACTGTTACTGATGGTAACCTTTGATACTTTGGTCCCAGCTCTCTGCAGGTCATTCACCAGGTCCCCCCTCGTGTGGTTCTGGGATTTTTGATCACAGTTCTCATGATCATTTTGACCCCCCGGGCTGAGATCTTGCGTGGAGCCCCATATGGAGTGAGATTATCAGTGGTTGAAATATCGTTGTGGGCTACATTTGGGCTGTCTTTCAGATACCGAGTTCAAACAGGTGCCATTAATACAGGTAACGAGTGGAGGACAGAAGAGCTTCTTAAAGAATAAGTTACAGGTCTGTGAGAGCCAGAGATCTTCCTTGTTTTTAATTGACCAAATACTTATTTTCCACCATAATTTACAAATAAATTATTTTAAAATCCTACAATGTGAATTCCTGGATTTTTTTTTTTCACATTCCTTCTCTCACAGTTGAAGTGTACCTATACCCCGCACCGCGGTAAAGTGGCCCTGCATTTCGTCGGCAGCGGTAAAGAGGTCCGCACTTTGAAAGCGGTTGGCTCCTTTATGCTGTTACTTACGGTAAACGTGGAACGGGAAGCCGCAACGAGAAGCAAGCAAGATGCAAGCAAGATGCAATTTTATTAATAAAATCATTAAAAAAGAACAGAGTTTTTGCGACTACTTTCACTGCACACTTGTTCACTGTGATGCCCTCTACCACTGTGTCAAATATCATTCACTTTTACTGTGGAAATTCAGAGATAATGGGGGTCAAAGTGTAACATTTTGGTCCCAAAAGCACTTTTTAAAAATCATTTTTTTAAAATCTAAGTTCCCAGAATTGGTCCTAAAAGCATTTTTTTAAATTAATTTTAAAATTAATTTTAAAAAGTGCTTTTGGGACCAATTGTGCACACTTTTACCCCTATTATCTCTGAATTTCTACAGTAAAAGTGAATATTTTACACAGTGGTAGAGGGCATCACAGTGAACAAGTGTGCAGTGAAAGTAGTCGCAAAACTCTTTTTGTTCTTTTTTTTAATGATTTTATTAATAAAATTGCGTCTTGCTTGCTTCTCGTCACGGCTCCCCGTTCCACGTTTACCGTAAGTAACAGCATAAAGGAGCCAACCGCTTTCAAAGTGTGGACCTCTTTACCGCTGCCGACGAAATGCCGGGCCACTTTACCGCGGTGCGTGTGTGCGTGCATATGTGGCGCGTGCGGCCTGAGAGTCGTCCCGGAGTTTACTGATACATTGGCGCACACGGCTAGATACGGACCCGCTCGTCACACCGTGCAAATAGGGCTTAAAATAGCGTTATGAAGAGACCTCCCCTCTCCCCTTTTTCTCTTTTTAACTGACAGCTTTGACCGGTTAGCGCTGTGATGGTCAACAACCGGTTAAACGGTCACTGATTTACATCCCTAGTAGAAATGGTTCGCTCCAGTTACACTAAACATACTGCTTTTTCACACGGGTTTACGTGAGTCTTGGAGAGAGATCCAGTTCTGCTTCTGCTTTGTAAACGCACTCGCTCTGGTTCAAACTCTGTTGTTGTGTCCTTGAGCTACGAACTTCAACCTCAGAGCTCCTCTCTCTGGCCTAAACCAGAGATGTAGCTTCAGGGGCATATTCTTGGCAGGGACTGGGAATATTCAGACAAGACCAGTCCTGTCCCTTTCTGAAGACCAAACTTCATGGTTCAGCAGATCCAGGTTCTGACTTGTGTAAAGTATGTTTTTATTAAATAGTTCTAGTATTCTGTCTTTTTCAATATGTTTTAACTGTTTTAAAGATAACTTATCTTTTCAAACGCAAAAAATGGTAGGTTTCCCTGTTCTTATCTCAGTCCTTGAGATTAACTATGGGTGCAGTTTTAGGGTTTTACTCTACATCTGCATGAATCTGTTTGCTCAAATGTTCATATATTTTGCACTGACGCAAAAACATGAAAATAAGCAACACTGCCTTGTTTTCACATCATGTATTTTTGGCCTCCAAAAAAGTTTATCCAATTATGTGACAAAAGGGTAGAAATAGGAGTACACCCCCTCACTCAGCCAATCATAACTCAGCCCAAAGAGTCAAATGGTGAAGTATGCAAACAATATCATGTTTTCTAATAAGACGTGTGCCTCAGCTTTACTGACCTTCAGCATTTGTTCTTATGGGGATGTATGTGAGAAAGATTTTGGTCTTTAAGGATTTGATATGCTGTTTTCCGCAGACTATTCTAAAGGGTTCGGGGGGAAGTTTGGTGTGGAAACGGACAAAGTGGACAAGAGCGCAGTGGGCTTTGAGTATCAGGGCAAAACAGAGCAACACGAGTCTCAGAAAGGTGAGTGTGACAAGTGTCTCCCTACCCCTTTCTGCCCTGTGTACACCCACAGAGCCATCGTTGTGACTGCTCCCATTCAAACTAGTGGAATTTTTTTTTAACCATAACTCACTTTTAATGAGTGCTAAAACTGGTGAATATTACTGAAATATAGAAAAACAGTTTGGTGAAAGGCTAATGCTAACTGCTTTAGTCAGACCTAGTCCCCTACATGGCTACTTCTGAATCTTAGTTCAAGATAGATTGAAATGTTTCTCATTTTTCATAAATAGATATTTTCAAACAAATGGTGACACATAAAGAAAGAGAATAAGTCACAAAGTTATGAAGAGCAGACATGTACTCGAGCTGGAATTACTCTGGTTTTAAAGTGAAAAATTCTTGTATCGTTTTTTTGTGGCACAATTAACAACTCATGTCAGTATATAAAAAAAAATAGTATAGTGGCCCATATTAAACTCTTACTATCAATGTTTGCATAATTTTGAAATTGTCTCAAGTACCCCTTGTCATACCGCCATGTGTTGCTTGGGGTCTGCGTACCCCTGGTTGGGAAACATGGCTTATTTGGCACTACATAAACCACATTCACTTGCTTTCCAGATTATGTGAAAGGATTTGGGGGTAAGTTTGGCGTTCAGTCGGATCGTCAAGACAAATCTGCTCTGGGCTGGGATCATCAAGAGAAAACACAACTGCACGAGTCCCAGAAAGGTAAGACCAGGGAGTGTCCAGAGATTGACTGGAGAAAGAGACCATAGGAGAGAGAACAGAGAATAAAGGCCTGTGTACACTCGCGCGGCGCTGGTTACGGTTGTGGTTGCGCTGGACCTACGTAGCCACAGTTGGTGGTACACTCGCGCGTTCCCCGTGCGGAGTTTTGAAGAGAATGTTCAAATGTTCAACCAACAACATGACGGCGATCTCACAGGAGTTGCCTGAGAAACCAAAGCGGTCCCATTTACGCTGCTACTTTCTCCTCTTCAGAACAAAAACAACAGCGAAGCTGTTTGAGATCATTACATGTGTATCTACTGTAGGTTAGTCGTTTAAACTCATTTAATTGTGATGTTGTGAATAAAGACACAGTTCTTGTTGGAAACAGTTATTATTAAATTGTATTCAGCACAAACAGCAAAACAATAAGTGGTAAATATCTGAGACAAACATGAACTATTTACAAGTGCAGGAGGAATGCAACAGACGCGATAAGCTAAGAGTGCAGATTCAAACAAAGACGGGAACAGTGCAAAACAAACGACTGTGCAGTTTATAAGTTATATATATGTTAGATATGCAATAGAACTCTAGTCCACAGTCTCCGCGTATATAAGGCTCTGTCATGAGCCCAAACTGCTTTTCCTTCGGTTCCTTCGAAGCGCCAAGCAGTCTGCTCCGAAGTGCCTTGTCCATGTTCCTGCAGCCGCTCCATGCTTCACAGAAAGTAATCACACACGGACCAATCACAGCGGAGGGATTGCGGCAGGCTACGTTGCGCAATTGACGTCACCACCATAAGCTCCGCGCTGCGCAACTATACACTAGGCTTAAAGAACCTCATCCACAACTACCTCAAAAGACTTTAAGCTGTCATAGATGTTAAAGGGGAACTGGGGTATGGTGATCAGGATCATAAGAGGAGTTTTATGAATGATACTTTGACCATTAACTGCTTCACACATCCACCAACAGTGACTGCCAGTGTGTGTGAAGTTAAAGGCACAGCTGTATGTATAAGCTGTTCCTCTTTCTCTGATGTGGCTCCTTTGTGGTTGTCTCTGTGGGTTTGTCATGTTTCCCACTTCCTCAAATCAACTGAAAGTGACAGTATTGAGTTCCATGTGAAACGGAAGTCTTGTTTGAACTTCACTTCCTATTTTGGTCTCCCTGTATTGCTCATTATTGGATTTTATTGTGCAACACTTTGGTATGCTTCAGCTGTTTTTAGACCAGAGAGAAAGACCAGCCAGAGAGAGGGAGAGACTAGCCAGAGAGAGAGAGAAAGAGCAACCAGCCAGTGAGGGACGACACAGTCAATTTTCCAACCTTTATGGACCACCATGGTTATTTTTGAAATGCAGTTTTGTGTATTCTGTATGGTGCTTTTCTGCATCTGCTCAGGTGGTGGTGATGGTTGTTCAGTATGTGCTGGTAAATACTGAAATGTCTACACGCTGATCTGTCTGCTTCATGTCCAGTGTCTCTTGTGTCTTGTCTCTTGTGCGTGTGTGATATATGTGTGTTGCAGACTATAAACGAGGGTTTGGAGGGCAGTACGGGGTCGAGCGTGGGAGACAAGACCCCTCCGCTCTGGGCTTTGAACACAAGGAGAAACTGTCCAAGCATGAGTCTCAAACAGGCACTTTCCACCATTATAGATTCTTTATTTTCACAGTAAGGGATGTCAAGAAAGAAACCTGCACGACGGATCACAGAGAAAGCCCAGACAGAGAGAGAGCCCAGACAGAGAGGGGGAGTGCGACTGGAGAAGGGGGGAGTGCGACTGGCGAGAGCGACCGGAGAGAGAGAGAGAGCGACCAGAGAGAGAGAGAGAGCGACCAGAGAGAGAGAGAGCGACCAGAGAGAGAGAGAGAGCGACCAGAGAGAGAGAGAGAGCGACCAGAGAGAGAGAGAGAGCGACCAGAGAGAGAGAGAGAGCGACCAGAGAGAGAGAGCGACCAGAGAGAGAGAGAGAGAGAGAAGAGAGAGACGACCAGAGAGAGAGAGAGCGACCAGAGAGAAGCGACAGAGAGAGAGGAAAGCGACCAGAGAGAGAGAGCGACGAGAGCGACCAGAGAGAGAGAGCGACCAGAGAGAGAGGCGACCAGAGAGAGAGAGAGAGGAGAGAAGAGAGAGAGAGACCAGAGAGAGAGAGAGAGCGACCAGAGAGAGAGAGAGACGACCAGAGAGAGAGAGAGAGAGAGAGAGAGCGACCAGAGAGAGAGAGAGCGACAAGAGAGAGAGAGAGAGCGACCAGAGAGAGAGAGAGAGAGCGACCAGAGAGAGAGAGAGAGCGACCAGAGAGAGAGCGACCAGAGAGAGAGAGGACCAGAGAGAGAGAGAGAGAGAGAGCGACCAGAGAGAGAGAGAGCGACGAGAGAGAGAGAGAGAGAGAGCGACCAGAGAGAGAGAGCGACCAGAGAGAGAGAGCGACCAGAGAGAGAGAGCGACCAGAAGAGAGAGTGACCAGAGAGAGCGACCAGAGAGAGAGAGAGAGCGACCAGAGAGAGAGCGACCAGAGAGAGAGAGAGCGACCAGAGAGAGAGAGAGCGACAAGAGAGAGAGAGAGAGCGACAAGAGAGAGAGAGAGAGCGACCGGAGAGAGAGCGACCGAGGGAGAGAGCGACCGGAGAGAGAGCGACCGGAGAGAGAGCGACCGGAGAGAGAGCGACCGGAGAGAGAGCGACCGGAGAGAGAGCGACCGGAGAGAGAGCGACCAGATAGGCGTACACTTCTTGACATCCCACCGCTGAAACCCCTAAATGACCCCATATCTCCGAGAGCGATGTTTCCTTTGGCCGTTCCAGCCTCCGCTTCTCTCCTTCTTTTGCCTGAGCTTCAGCGATGTTCCCTTATTTATCATCGCTCTTGAATGAATTTGCGCACGGCCTCTCTGTTCTCCTCAATTATATGATGCTAATTTCATCTTCGTGTATAGAGCAGATTGAGCTTCATGTTTTCTGAAGTCTCTGAAAAAGGACATCTTGTGCAAAATGATCTGAGAGTTTACCCTTTTTAATAGGTTGGTGTGACATCACAACATTTCAAAGACCCTGCAGTTTCACATTCTGGTGGAGGGCAGCTGTAGAAGGAACTACAGCTTCCTAGTAACTATAGTAACAAAATGTTTCATTCCTAAACAATCCACAAAAACTGTCACTGCTACTGACCAAGGGACTAGTGGCATTGCAGGACCAGTCAAATGCAGAGGACAAAGTTCCCTACAGGGATAAATAAAATGCACATTTACATTTTTACAAAGTTCTTCAATCTTCTTTGTCAGCATATATCATATCATATATATGGCCTCATCATTTTTTCTCTCTGGGCTCTCGCTCTGTTCTCTTTCCGGTCTTGCGCTCTGGCCTCTGTGTTTGTTCTCTCTCTCTCTCTCTTGTCTCTAGTCTCTCTCTTTGGTCTCTCTCTCCAGTCTTTTCTCTCTCTGTGCTGTTTTTCTGGTCTGGTCTCTCTCTCTGCGGTCTCTTGCTCTGGTCTTTCTTTGTTCTCTCGCTCCGGTCTCTTGCTCTGGTCTCTCACCATGTATTTTTGGCCTCTGTCATATCTTTCAATCAGTCAAAAAAAGAAGAGGACCAGCCTCACTCAGCCGAACAGCTCTCAACCCAAAGAGTCAGATAGTGACGCATAGGGATCTTTCTTACACAGAAGATAATGTTTTCTGTGTTTGTTTGTTCACAACATTTTACTTCCCGTTGGAACACACCTGACGAATAATGTTCAAAAAGTTAGATCCCCAGCTTTGAGAGAATATGTTGGTGGTAACCTCAGACCAAAACACAATATGTCTCTTTTGTGGAGCGGACTCTCATGTTGCTGCTGTTGTGTTTGCACTTGTTTCTTCAGATAGAGCTTCTCCGCAGGTGCATGAGTGTGCGTTAGCTGAACCAGACCCAACCTCCCTCAGTCCACATCCCCCTGCTTCTCCGTTCAAGTCAAAAGTTGAATCCGACTCATTTCGTCTCTGTTTGCAGATTATTCTGTGGGATTCGGAGGTAAATTTGGAGTTCAGAATGACCGCATGGATAAGGTAATGTGCTTTTAGATTGTGTATACAATGGGGCAAAAAAAATGTTTAGTCAGCCACCAATTGTGCAAGTTCTCCCTCTTAAAAGTTGAGGGAGGTCTGTAATTTTCATCATAGGTATACTTCAATTATGAGAGACAGAATGAGAAAAACAATCCAGAAAATAGCATTGTTTGATTTTTAAAGAATATATTTGCAAATTATGGTGGAAAGTAAGTATTTGGTTTACCTACAAACAAGCAAGATTTCTGGCTCTCACAAAACTAACTCCTTCTTTAAGAGACTCCTCTGTCCTTCACCTATTAGTGGTACCTGTTTGAACTCGTTATCAGTCTGAAAAGACCAGGCTGGGAAGAGTGAATCTGCAATAGGTAAGCAGCTTGGTGTTATTAGAAAATGGAAGACGTACAAGACCACTGATAATCTCCACGCAAGCTCTCACCCCATGTAGTCAAAATGATGTAAAGGACGGTGAGTAAAAATCCCAGAACCACACGGTGGGACCTAGTGAACACATTACGCCACCAGGGACTCAAATCCTGCAGTGCCAGACGTGTCCCCCTGCTTAAGCCAGTACATGTACAGGCCTGTCTGAAGTTTGCTGGAAAAGCATTTGGATGATTTAGAAGAGGATTGGGAGAATGTCATATGGTCAGATGAAACAAAAGTAGGACATTTTTGGTAATAAAATCCCTCAACCTGTTCGTGTTTGGAAGAGAAAGAATGCTGAGTTGCATCCAAAGAACACCATACCTACTGTGAAGCATGGGGGTGAAAACATGCTTTGGGGCAATTTTTCTGCAAAGGGACCAGGACGGCTGATCCGTGTAAAGAAAAGAAAGAATGGGGCCATGTATCGTGATATTTTGAATTAAAAACCTCCTCCTATCAGCAAGGGCATTGAAGATGAAACGTGGCTGGGTCTTTCAGCATGACACCTTTGTTATTGGCCAAATACTTATTTTCCACCATAATTTGCAAATACATTCTTATACTTATTTATTTCTAAAAATCAGATCAAATGAAAATGTGATATTCTGGATTTTTCTTCTTCTCATTTTGTCTCTTAGTTGAGGTATACCTATGATGAAAATTACAGGCCTTACTCTTCTTTTTAAGTGGGAGAACTTGCACTATTGGTGGCTGACTGAATACTTTTTTGCCCTTTTTTGTATGTTTATGTGACTTGTGTGTGTGTCTCTCTCTCTCTTTGTATCTGTCTCTGTGTGTGTTTAGAGCGCGGGGACTTTTGAGGATCTGGAGAAACCTGCTCCTTCTTACCAGAAAACCAAACCTGTGGAAGCCAGTGAGTGAAGACAGTTTTACCATCAACAATAATTTCATCAGAAGTTGTGGCTTTGGGACAGATACTCTCTTAACAATGTTGTGAACAAATCAAACAGAACAAACATTGCTCTTGAATTTATTTAGCATACTTAAGAAAGAAAGAGTAATGTAATGCTTCCGTCATCACCCTGTGTGGAATGATTGGAACAATATCTGAACTCCGCTCAGCAGTTGGTGTTTGGGAAAGAGCATAGACATGCCGCCTATTTGAGTTATGAGCCTCTCAAATGTCCCAATGAGAGACGGGCAGACATTTCTCTAAAAGCGCGTGGAAAATACCTGTGCGATAAGTGGGGACGGAATGATCATTAAAACAGAATGATGCACCTCCATCACGTTTAGTAAATAAAGCAGTCAGCTGCTGTGAGCCAGGACTGAACCAGGATTAACCAGTTTACCCCAAGTTTAACCAGATTTAGCAATAGTGACAATAAAATAAGAGTAAATAACAACCCCTTTTATTATTAGACTGTAATTAATTTATAATAATTGAACCTGAGATGTTTAAATCCTAATCCATGATTGGGGTTATGTGCAATTCCCCATTTTTTACTTATCTGTGCAACGCACATTTATTTGTCCCTGCCTCAATGGTCCTGCCCGGGCGTCCATGGATCCTGCCTGCGCGTCTATCGTCCTGCCCGGGCGTCCATGGATCCTGCCTGCGTGTCTATGGTCCCGTGCTGGGTAAATTACGACCATGTTACGGCTGCGCGTTGTCTGAGCTGTCGTCAAAGCGGCTCACAGGAACTGCTGTCATTACAAAGCGGCCGCAGTGGTCAGTATGCTGCGGAAGCAAGGATCCCGTTCGAGTACGTACAACAAACAACATGTGCCCCGGGGTCACACATTTCATAGAAATTACATTTTCTTTCTGACATTCAGCTGGAAAATTTTTGAAAACTGCGGATCTGAAATTTTTTGTTTCAGAGAACTGGAATAACTGCAGTGTTTGCAAGGGTCTTCTACCTCGTCCTCAAACACTCACATCGTTGTTATTTCACAGTGGGCAGCAGCGCGGGGAACATCAAGGCTCGCTTTGAGAATATTGCTAAACAGAAGGAGGAGGAGGACCGAAGAAGAGCGGAGGAGGAGCGAGCCCGACGGGAGGCCAGAGAGCGCAGTGAGCAGGAGGAGCAGCGCAGGATGGTCCAGCACGCCCCCAAAACTCCCTCTCCTGTCCCCCAGAGAGAAGCCTCCCCTGTCCCCCAGAGAGAAGCCTCCCCTGTCCCCCAGAGAGAGGCCTCCCCTGTCCCCCAGAGACAGCCCGAGACAGTAGAGGACATGTATCAGGTACAGGCTTCAAACATTAACACTAGAACTCTTATATCAAAGTATGTACATTTGTGGTTTGTGTGTTCATGACTTTCAGACTTTGTATATGTGTCTGTATGTAGTTTATTTGTTAATGAATCTGAGTTCTACCATAAGTTCTACCTAGCTCCTTTCATTTGAATGTAATTTTCGGTTGCCTGGTTAACTGCCCGGGGTAAGGCAGTTAACCGGTTATGGCAGTTAACTCCTTTTTCAAGGTTCTGGTCCTGGACTTATCCTGGACCTGTCCTGGGCAAGGACGTGCAGTTAGGGGAGGCAAAAAAAATATGATTTTATTTTTATTATTTTAGTTATTGTTTTCCTCTGTCCTATTAAAATACTTTTACTATATTTTTGGTGCAGTTCCGACCGGTTTTGATCATTTTGAATCAAAATTGCTGAAATTCTATTTTTCCTATTCAAAGAGACGAGGTGCGGCAGTGCTCATGCGTGCCTCACCCCAGATCGCTCGCTCCCTCACAGTGGACTGTGCAAATCCACTCAGGCCGTTCCGGTTGTCATTTCTCTGTTTGTTTCTAATATCCTGCTTTGAAAACATTTGTTATACTTGTCATAGTGTTTAGTAATGTATTGCACGTATGTATGTACTATTTTTATTTAGTTTAAGTCTTTTGATCGGAGTAAAGGCACAAGGAGGAAGCTTTCCTTGAGACAGCCAGTATCTGTGCCTCACCAATGGGGGCGATAGTGAGCCTGAACATCGTACCCGAGTTGCTCACAATCGGTCCAATATGCTATTTCTTTTACTGGAAGATTTGATTTGATTGAAGCTAAGATTTTGTTCTAAACTGGACTTTCAATCAAAGCAAGAAGTAATGTAAACTGGGAGGCCACCATCGGACCTAGTGAGGTTTGCACACATAGCCATGAGGTATTTGTCAATCTCAATTTTATGTTGAAAATTGACCAGATTCTTTAACATTTCTAGACATTCTGTTCAGCACTCGCAGATCGCATAAGTGCTTCCCCGAAAAAAACACTCATTCAAATACTGCTCAAGAGTTCTGCAACTTGTTTAAGGGCTTGTTTTCATGTTCCTCACGTCTCCCCCTCCTCGCGTCTCTCCCTCCTGTGCTTCTCAAAGTTGGTGTGTGTGAGTTATTCCATTGGCGAATTAATGCTATTTTATTAGAATAACGATTGTAAATCTGACTTTTAAAGTCAGTGCCTCCCCAATCACAAACCTCACTACATTTGCAGAGATTGTGCTTTTGTTTGTATGAGAACAGTTGTATTTAGTTACTGTTAGTTACAAGGTGTGAGAAACGTTACAATACTCCGTTAAAATCCTCCTCAGGTCTGTAGCCTCAGCTTCCCCACAGGGCGGATACTGGACCTTAACCCGTCAGACCGGTTTGAGAATACACCGTTTTTGAGCGTTTTTTGGATTCTGATGGTTTAGAAATGCTGTCACTAATAAATAAATCAAATGTTTTTTTCTAATAGGAATCAGACTGAGCACTGTCTTTAGATTATATTTACTTCAAACACGCAGCTCAAAAAGAGAGTACAGAGTTCTGCACTCATTGGCCTGTGTGACGAGTGTGTGCAGTCAGAGCTGAATCAGACTGTTAAGAGGAAGCGGCGTCTGCAATCAGAACTTTACGTCCCCTGCCTCACCTGTGGTCATGAGCTTTGGGTAATAACCGAAAGAACGATATAGAGTGCTCTCTGCACATTGTAAAGTGCTTTGGGTGACCTTGGTCTGTAAAAAATAAATAAAGATTACTTACTCTTGGAGATAGGGTGAGGAGCTCAGTCACACGGGAGGAGCCTGGAGTAGAGCTGCTGCTCTTCCACATGAAGAGGAGCCAGTTGAGGTGGCCAGACGCCTCCCTGGGGAGATGTTTTGGGCATGTCCCACTGAGAGGAGACCAGGGTAAGACCCAGGACATGCTTGAGGGACTGTGTCTCTAAGCTGGCCTGGGAACGCCTCAGAGTCTGGGCTTCTCTGCTCAGACTGCTGCCCCTGCGACCTGGCAACGGATAAAGATGGGTGGATAAACCTCTTGTCAGTGTTTTTAAGTCTGTATGGGGTTCAAAACATGTCACTTGTTTCAGCTTTAAAGAAGGCCCCGTCATAGGAACGTGATTTTTTTTTTTTTCCCAGAACTTTAGCCAGGTGGAAGAAGCGTCTGGGGAGAACGGGCAGCAGAACATATATGAGGAGACGCCCACTGAAGAAACCCCAGCTGCAGGTGAGGGACCAGAAACGGAGGGCGAGAGGGACCAGAGGGCGAGAGGGACCAGAGGGCGAGAGGGACCAGAGGGCGAGAGGGACCAGAGGGCGAGAGGGACCAGAGGGCGAGAGGGACCAGAGGGCGAGAGGGACCAGAGGGCGAGAGGGACCAGAGGGCGAGAGGGACCAGAGGGCGAGAGGGACCAGAGGGCGAGAGGGACCAGAGGGCGAGAGGGACCAGAGGGCGAGAGGGACCAGAGGGCGAGAGGGACCAGAGGGCGAGCGGGACCAGAGGGCGAGAGGGACCAGAGGCCAGGACCCTGGGGCTTTTGATGATTATGGCTGGCTCTCAGATAAATCTTAGTAGGTATTCATGGTATTCAAATCTTAGTAGAAATACATGTTTTTGTGGCTCTCTCAGCAAAAAAGGTTCCCGACCTCTGGCCTAGAAAGTGAGAGGCACGAAGGCTTCAAGTATCATGTTTTCAGCTCAGATGTTCTCATCTTTGTTTTTTCCAGACACTCAGGCGTACGACTATGGGGATGACCTGGGGATTACAGCTGTTGCACTGTACGACTATCAGGCTGGTCAGTGTTCCATAAAACGGCTATCTGTTCTGTCTTTGCTCTGTCTTTAGTTTGTCTTTGGCCTGGGTTTGGTCTTCAACAATCTCAGGATCCAGGTTTTATTTAACTTTTGACTCAAAATCTAATCTTATTCTTCTAATACAGCTCTCTCTGGCTGGTCTTTCTCTCTCTGGTCTCTCTTCGATCCTGTGTGCACTGTGCTGTGATTTATTTTGAAAGTCTGACTTTCAGCCGGCGACGACGAGATCTCCTTTGACCCCGACGACATCATCACAAACATAGAGATGATCGACGAGGGCTGGTGGAGAGGCGTGTGCCGTGGCGCCTACGGCCTATTCCCGGCCAACTATGTGGAGGTGCGGCAGTGACAGCCCCTCCTGCTGTCCACACATGCCACTGCACCCATCTCAAATTGTATTCCTTTATTTTTAAGTTTTGCCAAAGACCAGAAAGATGAGAGGCTATTAATTCTGGAAATAAAACTAGATCTATGGTGGGATTCCTTGTAAATATCGTCAAATGTTATTCCCATATTTGTCTGAAACATTCTAATTTTGTGATATATATTTTTTTTTTTTTTTTTTTTTGCTTCTCACCAAATTATTGAAAGATGTAATATGCAAGCTATATACAATGGGTACATCTTCTCTACATTTGCCACAACATGACTTTTTAATGTAGTTTATCTTTCATATTCAGCTTTTACATTATCATAGTTTTGTCATCTTGGCGTCATGGCCAATAAAACTTCACAAACACTACATCTTCTATTTTATCATAGTTAAAATTATGTACATAAAGAAATTAACTGACAATGGATTTAAGCTGTTTGAAAATGTTTATTTTTTGCCATTTGGATGAGAAACTCACTCTTGAAGTCTTTTATAATCCCTCTGGTCTCTGCTTTCTCTCTGGTCTCTGTATTGCGTGTTTGTCCAGCGTGACGGTACCATGTGGGTTACAATAGAACAAAAAGCCGTACAAAAGTGTAATAATTTGAGTATGAATAAAGACATGTTGTTTTTTTGATAATGGTTTTGATCCAGTTTGTGTGAATGCAAGAGTTTAAGAATAATATAAGTGTCCTTTTTCAAATGTATATTCCAACTTCTGTCACATGATGGGACATGTTCATCTTTTTTATTTGAATAAATGATTAGTAATAATATGTCTGAGTGGATCATTGTGGCATTGTTTCTCACAAAGATTTTTTTTTAAAAGGGGAAAAAAAGCCAGGACCCCTCTATCCAGAAGTTGGGCTTTACCGCCCGACTTGGCTCTGCTCTATTCTACCTGGTTGTGTCCATACACTTAAGTATCAGGGGCTGTACTCCCAAGGACTTTTAGAGCTAAGAGTTGCTCCTGGTGACCAAATTCTAAGATTATTCTTACAATCTTGACATACTCTTAGAATTTCCCCTAAAAGTGAAGAGCAGATCCTAGTTAAGAAAGCTGTTCCTATGAATCCTAGCTCCTAAGAGATCTCACCTTAGGAGCTCTCTTAAGAGTAAAGGACTTATAGCTATGAGTTCCCTAAGAGGGCAAAATGGTGGTCGGAAGAAGCAGGAGAGATGGAAATGCGGAATTTACCTGTTCTGCTACAATTCCCCATGCTTGCTTCTTGGTTTGCACTGTGACAGTACAGGGGCCAAATTTACCTCTCAAAACACTTGAATGCTCATTGAGCCAGAAGTAAATGTGGACTTTTATAAGGACTTTTAACTGCTTTTGTTTTGTGCTGCTTTGTATGTTTTGGTGTGCTTTTATGTTTTATGCATGCATTTTAAATCACGGTTCCTTGGACACTTCCCCTAATTATCCACACCTGTTTTTAATCAAGACCATAAAATGGGGGTGGGCACTGCGGAACAGGAGAGAGAAAGACAGGGAGGACGGGAGAGAGGAGGAGGACACGGGGCCGGGCCAAGGAGGAGCGCCGCCAGCCAGAGACCACGGGGGACTGAGGCCAGCGGGGAGAGCGGTGTAACGCCGAGATACACTGCCTTGAAGAGATGCACTGCCTCAGCTGTTTATGATGTAATGCAAACCTGCGCATGCGCGTCCCACGGCAGCCGAAGCATACCAAGATGGCGGAGCGTGAATTTCTTTAAAAGTTAAAACACGAACGAATTAAGACACGAATGTCACTTTTAATGCAATTTGAGGCGAGATGTTGACAGTTCCGTTTTGTCACATGTGGGCCGTCTCGACAGATTACGGCTGGGATGTGCCCACTCTCCCCTGCGGGTGCTTTTCACTTGTTTGTTGAAAGTCAAACAACACGGCTTCTGGTCAGCAATCACAGCTGTGCCATTTTACCCTCGAAGTGAGTAGAAATGGTGAAAATGTAAAGAGGAAACATTACCAGCATGGCAATTAATGAGAAAATAAATATAACTATCCTTGTGTTAATACTGATCAAGTGGCTCTAAGTTTTTACACATTCTGGATGATGAATTAAACGTATAACTTAATATGAGATTTCATAACACTTTGAAGCAACTTTTGTTCAAGTTAAACTCATCATTCTATCAATGTGCAGAAGCCAGTACTTTTCCCTTGTTTTGTCTATCTGAAGGCCAAGCTACATGGCACCGTGGCAGCTGCTGATTGGAGGTCTCCATGCCTCCGCTCTGTATAATACACTTGCATTCTGTTGTATTGTATATGTGATCGTGTGCTTTGTTCGTGCTGTCTCTACCATCGACAATAAAACATGTCTTCTGTCTGAATTAAAGACGCGATCCCAGACTATGTCATCTTCTTCATTAATATTTACAGCATCTATTTCTGTCTTTTAAGCGGAATAATATTTACCATGACAGTCTTCCTAAGATTAAATTCCATGATTAAGTTTGTCCATTTGAGGGTACTTATTTTGCCCGTTATCACCAAAAGTGTGTTTTTAACTTTTAGGATGAACCAATCACAGCGTCTGAAAATTATGACTCGTACATATTATAATAGATCCATGCTCCAACAATACAGTCATGGCTCAAACCAAACCGAAATGATTTTCTTTGGTCCTCAGAAACAAAGAGCGTCTATCTGTCACTTCCAGTCCCTCTCCCTAAAACCTTCAAACCAGGTCAGAAATCTAGGGGTAGGGCTCTAATGCAGGGCATCCTGGGAACTACAGACACCCCCTGCATGGCACTATGGCCGCTCAAAGGAGTAATCGTAGCAACAGGCTTACATCACTGCGCTGCCGAACGGAACGTTTTGAGAGACCATTTTTACCTTTCGGCTGTCAGACTGTACAACAGAGCTGGATAAGTCTACTGCTGCTGGACACCTGAATTTCTCCTACGGGGATCAATAAAGTATCCATCTTTATTAGAGACAGCTGTTACCGTCTACTTTTACTGTGCTTGTGGGCATTTCCGGCTGTTTCTTTTGAGTATGCAATGTCTCTAGAGTCTATACTTTAAAATAAAATAAAACCTATTTTTAACTTCATAATGAAGAAAAGTAAACAATACCGTATACTCCCGTGCAAGATCTTTGGAATCTGGCCTTCACACATTTTACAACCGCAAGACTTTATTCAAGTGATCAGGCCTTTAAGGTCACGACAACTTCAGTCATGTCTCTGTTGTTTGAACTAGTTAATAGCTGTGGATTGGCGTCTTTGTTGGGATGCAAATGACAATTTGCATTCCAAATTGTTTAGTCCTGACTTTGGGCACCAGCAGGAGGCCCTGTGCTCCTAGAGTCGAGTTATGCCGCTTTTCCACAGTAACGGTACGGTAGGGCACGGCGCAGTTATTTTGCATTTCCACTAGGGTTGGGCTTGGGATCGGGGGTTCTTTTTTTGTACCACCTCGACTGTGGTTCCATCCATGCCGAAGCAACACCATGAGGTCCGACGAGCCTCATGGACTTACACTGATTGGTCAACGAGTGTCGTCACTGGAAGCAACGTCCGACCCTATGGTAATAACCATAGACATATAAACAACCCAACCCAGCCATCTTTAAAACCAGCTGCTCTGCTTCAATACGTCCTCCAATGGATCTATTTTAATAACGTACTCCTCACTCCAGAGAAATGGAATTGCACGGAAAGCCCCAAAAGCCAGCGTCCTGGTCGGTGGACGAGGTCCACACGTTACTCTCTTTAGGCCGAAGAAAGAATTCAAAGGCAGCTTGAACGCACAACACGGAGTGTGTGGTAATCCTGGAAATAACTGGTTAGCTACGTATCCCGTTGGCCCAAAGCTCTGATTTTGATTTTCCGTTGTACATAGTGAGCTAGTGTAACCGGGTGGTGGTGTAGTTTCAACTGACCATCATACATTACCAGCAACGCCATTAGAATGAAAGAAAGCATACAAAAGTTTTATGAAATAGACTGAGGCAGATTAACATTTACTTTTTCTTTATTTGTACTCTTAACACAATTCCAGCCACCACAGATCTCCGCTATAATAAAAAAGGGGGAGAAAAAAAAGGCAAGGCGGCCACTCCTCAACACCAGCGAGACATCTACGGTAGATGCAATAGAATGTTACTATTAACCAAATGTCATTTTCATAGTCTGATTCGCAAGTACCAGTAACTGCAGGGAACGTAAAGTGCAGGAGGCTGATGGACCCTCCACACCTGCACTGAACAAGAGCTTCGGTGGGATGGCGGACATCCCCATCCTACATGGCTAATATAAAAAAGGAACGATTAGCTAAATGCTGGATTTTAAAAGAAACAACAACAAACACTGTACCTGTGGGGCAACACGGAGGGTCACGACACCGGACCAGGAAGTGTGCAGGGCCAAGGCCACAGGAGACAGGCATGGATCTATTGGAGACAGGCCAATGGCTTTTAAAGCCTGCACACTACCGCCCCCTTGTGACCTCATACTGCCACACTAAGCGATCGATAGCAAGCTAAGCTAAAACGTCCTTCCTGTGCTAGTGTGCTGTATTTTGCTCTTTCATTCTTTGAGAATCCCTTCACACAAGTGAGGAGATTATAAACGAGCAATGAGTGACCGGAGTACTTAACTTTCTCCTCATCGGGACCTGGTCTCAAGAGATATACATATTTGGACTTTGTAAATTGTTGGTTTTGCACTTTACTTTTGTTTTTAATAAATCTGTGATTGTATCAAGACTTTGTTTCATTCATTTGTCTGTACACATGCAGAAAGGGGGTTCAAAAGTTACGATTTCGTACCACATACTTTTACTTCTATTAACATTACATACATTATATTTTTCAGTAAATCCGTATAGCCTTGGTAAATTTATGAAGAAGGATGGAGACATATTTGCTAAATACAAAAAGGTTTTATTTTTGATCAAAACACGAGGCCAAAATAAATGTTTAGGCATAATGATTTTTATCATATATTCCTTTTTAACTTCTCACTCATTTAAAATACCTCTATTTTGTAAATCTAAGTTATGTATTGAACTCTAAATAAAAACATCAGACCAGAGACCAAGACTAATGTGAGAGGACTTGAGTACAGAGACCTGAGACCAGGAAGAATATGGTCTAGATGCAGATCTCATAGTTGCATGAGTCCATGCTCTCTGGGTCCAGGTCTTCTTGGAGTTGGTGCAGGATGAATCGCAGCAGCGGTGGAGGCAGCAGCAGGTGCTTCAATCTCTGTTTTTGCACCAGTGAGCGGATCTTCAGCCGACACAAGTGCATGAGCGACCGCGGAGGCACTGCGGACGAGAAACAGAAATAACAATAATGCTACGCTTTAGAAATAATATCTTCCTAATAGCTGAGCACTGAACTGAAGCTGAGATATCATGTTTTGCTCTTTGACATGAGAGATAAGACTCACAGTTGCAATCTACCAAACGATTACTATTTTTACCTTTACTAATTTTTACCAAGTCCTTAAACTTGTGTAAATAACAACAAAAACATTTGAAAGGCTAATGCCAAAGAGCAAATGCTCACTGCGGGAAGTATACAGCGTGTTGCTAACTAGCACTAGCACATGTTTAGAATTATGTTACGGTCCTCTTTTCAGACCGCGGTAAAGTGGCCCGCATCTTTCAGCTCTATGAACAAGCGGCCCGCATCGGGGAAAAGACGGTGCGCGTTTTGCTGAGAACTTACGTTAACAGCGGAACATCCTTTCGGAGTCACCCATTATCGAACAGAAAGCGCGCTGGTGTTTGGGAGACACGTTTTTGTGATTAAAACCTTATAGAGATGCCACCCGGTACACATAGCACCAGCCCCCTACGATTCCTCCGGCAGATTGTGAGTCCTCAGGAGGATAGCCACTCTATAGTTTACATATATAAAGTACACAATTTGGTCCGCTAGTGCAATTTTCAAGTATTGTAACTATTTACTGGAATAAGGTGTGCGACTAATTTCACTTGACTCATGACCTTATTATTGCCCTCTACCACTGTACCAAAGACCAGAACCTTTTACTGTAGAAATTTGGAGAAATATTGATTTAAAGTAGCCATTTTGGTCCAAAATAGCCTAAAAATGATCAAAACATGTCACTTTTGATCTACTGTAACTTTTTACTGTAAAAAGGTGTGCGACTAATTTCACAGGACTCATGACCTTATTATTGTCCTCTACCACTGTACCAAAGACCAGAAACTTTTACTGTAGAAATATTGAGAAATATTAATTTAAAGTAGCCATTTTGGTCCAAAATAGCCTAAAAATGGTCAAAACATCACTTTTGTCACCCGCCTGGAGCTCGCACTGATTCCCGCGGAGGAGCGCCTGTCTTTCAGTCTGCTGTGTCTGAGCCAGCTTTAGCTTGTTCTTATAAATAAATTACTTTAACTTCACAGCATATGTACATTGATTGTGTACAACGTTACTATTCATACAAATAATATTACAAATAACAATAATGACAATGAAAAAGCAGCAGCAGCTACATGACAGCCCTGCTGCTGCTGCTTCTCGTCTCCAGATTGGTTGAAGCCCGGCGTCAAGCTCCAAAAGCTTTTCTCAACTTCGGCGTTAAGGGACTTTTTTACGACAAAAGAGACGCAAGCATTACTATTCATTTTCAGTGCAAAACTGACGCTTTTCAAGTCTAAGTTGAGTCCGGGGTGAAAACACCTTAAGGGAGTGCCCAACCACTCTTTCCCACCGCTTGTATCTACAATCTCGTTCTTTCGGTCATTATCCAAAGCTCATGACCAGAGGTGATGGAGGGAACAAGAATTGACCGGTAAATCGAAAGTGGCCGTATCACTGCGCACGCTGCACCAATCCACCTGTCAATCTCACACTCCATCCTTCCGTCACTCGTGAACAAGACCCCGAGATACTTGAACTCCTCCACGTGAGGAAGGACCTCTCCACTATGGCGGCACGGTGGCTGAGTGGATAGCACTCTCGCTTCTCAGCAAGAAGGTCCTGGGTTCGAATCCCAGTCGGAACAGGGCCTTACTGAGTGGAGTTTGCAGGTTCCCCGTGTCTGCATAGGTTTCCTCCGGGTGCTCCGGTTTCCCCTACCACTAAAAACATGCTCAATAGGTATTAATGGACAGTGAAGATTGGGGGCTGATCAGTGGGGGCGGGTCCCGGCTCGAAAGTGGCCAAAATGATGCGCTGACATGCTTGCAATACCACCCTGGGCCGATGGGGGTGGACCCGGAATAAGAATTAGCCAATGCTAACGTATAGCATTGGCAGACCTCTCGAAAAGGATGGTCCGAAAGTTGGCTCTTGGCCCAAAGCTCCGGTCCACATGTCCAATGCTCTACTTTACTCGCTGTGAATTTTTGAAGTCTCTCGTTCAAATGAATGGAGCTTGCGCCGGCTGACACATGCGCAGATGCTTTTTTTTTCCGCTATACAATTTTTAATTTATTTATATAAATGCGCTATATAAATAATCATTACTCATTAATCATTACTCATTACTCGAGAGGGCAAGGCACCTTTTTCCGGTCAGGCATCATGGCATCGGATTTGGAGGTGCTGATTCTCATCCCAGCCGCTTCACACTCGTCTGCAACCGTCACAGTGCATGCTGCAGGTCCTGGTTCCTTGGAGCCAACAGGACAACATCGTCGGCAAACAGCAGAGATGAAATCCTGTGATCTCCGAACCGGACCCCCTCCGGCCCCTGGCTTCACCTACAAATTCTGTCCGTTATGACAGTGAACAGAAGCGGTGAAAAAGGGCAGCCTGCACCTGCCGGCAATGCAAATACAGCTATAGAGGACAATAATGAAGTCATGAATCCAGTGAAATTAGTCGCACACCTTTTTACAGTAAGAAGTTACAGTAGATCAAAAGTGACATGTTTTGGCTATTTTGGAGGTATTTTGGACCAAAATGGCTACTTTAAATCAATATTTCTCAATATTTCTACAGTAAAGGTTTCTGGTCTTTGGTACAGTGGTAGAGGGCAATCATGAGGCCATGAATCCAGTGAAATTAGTCGCACACCTTTTTACAGTAAAAGTTTTACCCAACATTTCCACAGTAAAGGTGTGTGGTTGTAGGCACAGCGTTGAAGGCAGCTTTATCGAGGTCATGAACCCAGTGGAATAAGCCACAAGTCTTTACTGTAAAAATGGACAGCTGCTGAAAATTTCACTTTTTGTCCAAATTAAATGCTTTCCAAATATGGGTTTATTCACAAAAACGAGTCTCCTCAGCGCGCTTTCTGTTCGAGGAGAAAAGGTGACTCCGAAAGGCTGTTCCGATATTACCGTAAGTAGTCAACAAAACGCGCACTGTTTTACTCTCGATGCGGGCCGTTTTACTTCGGAGGTGAAAGATGCGGCCCACTACCGCGGTCTTTTCAGCAGGGGCCCGTTCCTACGCTGTCACTTTCTGTCTTTAAGAACACAAGACTTTTTCTTGTGTTCTTTATTGTTCTTGTACATTTTCTGTTCTTGTTTGTGTGAAAGTGTGTTCAGACTCTTGCTCATATGTCATCAGTAGGGCTGGGCGATTAATCGATTTTAATCATTAATTCGAGTTTTACATTTAGGGCGATTTCTTTTTTTAAAAATTCGATTTTTATTTTCTCCAGCGCAGAACTACAGCGCTAATGCGCTAACCGCGGGTCTATGGTGTTGAGCAGTCATTTTGAAGCTAACCTAATGCTAACAGTCTCCCTCTGGCCTGATGCTCGCTCTCACAGTTGGTGCTGTTGCAATAACACTTCAAACGTTCAAGAATCAGACTTTATTTAAATCGCCAGAACACACACACACACGCACGCAAGCCCCGGTCGCTATGTTCGTACGCCATGTTCGTACGCCACATCTTTCACGCTCTCTCACGCTCGTTATTCCAAAGCGCACTCCCGTGTCTGTGGCGCGCACACACTCGTGTCCCACTGAGCCGCTGCACTTTGGGGAAAGACACGTCTCACACATTGCTCTCATTGCTCTGATACAAACAACGTGTTCCCCGCTGTCTGTTAGCTACAGTAGCTGTTAGCAGAGGTGTGGACTCGAGTCATGTGACTTGGACTCGAGTCAGACTCGAGTCATGATTTTGATGACTTTAGACTCGACTTGACCAAATGTAAAAAGACTTGCAACTCGACTTGGACTTTAACATCAATGACTCTGACTTTCACTTGGACTTGCGCCAATTGACTTGCAAAGACTTGCGTAACCCGGGCCATTTTTACCTTTCTCCGCATCTCTCTTTCTATCTATGCCGTCTCTGAAGAAACAAAGCCTCGCGGTAGTTGTAGCGCTCGCGCGAGAGTTCGAACGTGAGTTCCCCGCAGTTCGCGCAGTAACACTTCCCTAAACAAGCGGACTGCATTCACCGGTGGGTGTGTTGTCTAGGGGAGCTGGAAATGAGCGAGCTGCAGGTATTTATCGCAACCTAACGTCATATTTTGTTCTACAAACCGTAATTGATATGCTTTCACTACAGGCGCCTCATACAATTGAATCGACGCAGTTGTCACACTGTGTGCCGTGTTTTAAAGAGGAACTGGTGAGTCAAACTAGCGCTAGCCTGCGCTGCTCTGTTAGCTATTTCTTATATTTTTCTGTGTGGGCGCCGAGGCCTATTATTATGAGTATGTTTTTGCTGTGCTCCTCCTGCTAAAGTTTGCATACATTAGATAGTTGTTTTGATTATGTGCACTAAGCTAGATTAATATTTGCACTATTGTTTATGGTGCATTGATATGAGAATCAGTGCTTTGACTGATTGAATTAATTTATATGAGACATTTTATTATGTAATGATATATTGGTAATTATGAGATATTACTAATGCTGGCCCAGTTCATACAGGCCGGGGTCCTTCCCCTCCATTGGTCCCTTCAGTCCTTTGGAACAATAACCACTACGGACATTAAACTGATTATATAGATACAGGTCCTAGCCCAATACTCATATTCATATATGCTGCACTGCTGCACTTGCTACTTCCCATTAAAAACCCCAAAGATAAAAAGTATGTTGACATGGACTGCTCTGATTTTATGTGTGGTCTGTGCATGTGTAACTGAGCCTGCATCTGGCACAACATCCAATTAGATCACGTAGATAGTTTTGATTTACCAGCAGCCAACGACATGGAACAAACTGTTAGTCCATGGGTCAGAGACCAACGAGAATGCACCAGCAAAATGATTCCTAACATTATTTTGTTTGCCTACAAAAGTACGTGGAGACCAACAAGAAACAAATCGCGGTCAAAAAGACTCGAGAGGACTCGAAAGTCAAACCGTAGGACT